AAGTGTCATATTTATAAAAAGGGGGACTTGGTTCTATGGAGGCAGGCACCTACAAGTAGTGCTGCTAAGGTTAACACTAAACTAGATGACTTATATTCAGGCCCCTATATTGTAACTAAAGTCGTCGGCAACGATAGGTATAACATTAGGAGCATAAAGGATTAAGGGGCTATAAAAACTTTACTGGGCTGGTTTCCGCCGACTCTTTGCGACCCTATCGTAGTGTAGCTCTAGTGTCAGATAGCGCGAGCAGCTCTGACGACCAACTAGAAACTGAAGACCTTATTGACCTTCTAGAAAGCTAATCAACAACGTCTTCCCATTGCGGGAGCAATTGTTTCAGGATGGCCGACTGTAACGCCACACCACATTATACAGCCGAGCCTTATGATGCCACGCCATAGCCAAGTTAAGCCAAAGCCAAAGCCATCCGGTTCGTTAACTGTCTGCCGGTTGTGAGTGACGTCACATCCAATCGCCAAATGAAGAGGGTATAAATGCCCAGATAGCTAATTTCTCTGATTATTCTTGTGTTAGCATCGAAATAAGTAGAAACTCTGCCAGTTTGTACAGTGATCATTAATAAACTAATAGTTGCATAAAGTGCGTACGTGTTTGTTTTACCTGTGTCGTTTTAATTAAGAAAAAAGGGGCGATGTACAGTAGTACACTTATGAAGTATAATTAATATAGTACATAAGTTATAACTCTAACCAACGATCAAAAAAGTACTCGTATATACACAATCCCATGCAAAAGTTCTCTTAAATCTGTCACCAATTGTGTTTAGGTAACTATTCTAGTTGAAATAAATATACAACAATGTAAATTGAACCTTAAATGCAGTGCTTAAAGTTGCTTTCACTAAAAAAAAATTAAAAACGCGCTCAAATGTTCAATTAAGCGCTCATTCGGTGAGGACAGTTTTTGTTGCTGATTGTATATCTAGTACTTTTTTAAACGATGACTCTAAAATAATAAGTAAAAAGGTTTCTAACATAGTAAGAGTCACTATATAATATATACATGCATGTTATTTTTGCAGTACCATCAACATAGCGATATGTTCAGATGAACAGATAGACGATGCAAGACAGCCTTGCTGGTGCCCTGATGAAGCGACCCGAGAATACCTTGCGCATGTCATACAAATCTTAAGTGAGACTATGCTGGAATGGATTGCGAATGTACAAACAGACAGGAGGCTTGTGTATGCCCTAATGATTTAACTGTGTTAATGAAACGTATAAGAAATTATAGTGATCTGCAAAATAAGCCCATGAAAACATCGATGCATAAAAATTCTAATAGAATGATGTTTGTAAGTACTTTTTTTTTGTTCATATAATATCTTTCACTTGAAGTTTTCGTTTGTGTTGTGTGTATTGAACCCCTTTTTACGTCCCACTGCTGGGCGTTGGCCTCCCTTCAATACGAGGGGGATCAGGCCTTAGTCCACCACGGTGGACAAAGTCGTGGTGGCGGACTTCACATGTCTTTCGAAAACTTGCTAGGTTCTCTTTTTTTTAATAGTTGCTGGTATTTAGAAAATTCAGGATAAACTAAAAGTGTTTTTAAGAAGATTTTTGTATCAAATATCACATAAAGATTTAATGAATTTTGGACAAACCAATATCTGACAGGTCTGGTAGTATTGAACTGTACATATATCTCATTTTCTATGTATTTTCTTTTCTTGTAATTAAAAAAAAATCTAACGATTTCGTTATATTTATACACTTGTATGAATATTATGTCTTAGGTAAGACAACTCTTATACATACATTGTATAATTAAATCCTACTTTAATTTTATTACTATGTTTTAACAAATTTACACTTTCTTATTTCAGCTTCAAAAGGTTTCGCAGAGAGTCAAGAATGACGCAGGACCAACACCAATTTTGTATTTGTTAAAAATGGAAGAATAATATAATACTCTATGGGAAACTGTTTTCGTGAATGGATTGAATAATGTTATCGTAAAAGAAAAAGCGTTTCGCAGTTAAATATACTATAAGATATTTAAACCAAAGACAAGCATTTATTTTATAGTTGCGTTGAATGCAATAAAAGGCAAAAAATATTTATTAAATGTAATCGACGACAAATGGCATTAGAATAAGGGTTAAGGACTAAAAATAAGGTTCACTTAAACTTTTGCCTACAGTTATACCCTAAAATAACAAGCCTCATTTGTATACGCGTCAAATAAATGTACAAAAATATTGTTGAAATTAAATTAAGTATTATTAAATTTATGTTAGTGCGTATTACGTATACTAGATATAACGAAATAAAAGAGTATAAAAATAATTTGTTTAATATTTTCTATAAAATGTCACCCAATCTAAATACTTCAATTCGTGGTCATTTTATAGTTTCTCATTCTGATTTTAAAACTAAGCAGGTATAAAATTAAGCTGATAATAAAACAAATAGAAATAATCCTATAATATTTTAAACTAGCGACTCACCCTTCCTTTGCTCGGGTTCGTTCCTAGGTCAAATCAAAATAAAAAATATCCTATTCCTAGGTCAAATCAAAATAATAAACAAAATCAGCTTTTATACTATTACGTAAGTAGAATTATAATTTCATGAACATCAAGGGTGTCTGGCATGGGGTTGCCACGATGTTAAGTGTCTGGCATTGAATGACGTGATTTTTAACAATATTCTTAAGGTAATGCCAAAAAATCACACTTTATTATTTGACGAATTTAAGCCACGATAACCCGAACTTCATAATGGTCCATTGTTCTTACCTGTGTTGGGAGCATGCGCTGACAAACTTTCAGATTTTATAAAATAACGAAGGTCTGGGGTTCACGGGCTTTTAGGATAGTACTATTCAACAGATAGTACGAAACAAATCTTTGAAATTTTGAATTTCTCGGCTTTTCTGTATTATAATATGCATGTATTACACATATAAACCTTCCTCTTGAATTACTCTATCTATTGCCGAAAACTGCATTAAAATCCGTTGAATAGTTTAAAAATCTAAGTGAACACCAGCGGAAGCGACTACATTTTATACTATGTTAAGATATCGTTTATAAAAAAAATGAAATTAAATTTAGGTATGTACCAAAGAGTGCTTAAATATAAATGAAATAGAAAAGTGAATAGTATATAATATATCGATACAGAAAAACAGACTTTATTCAAGTAACGCAATGTAACAAATGCACACAGCCTTAACTCCTGAACTAGAACACTGTGTTTACCTTCCCATATCAGGAGTACATATTAAATTGTATGATAAATACGTACATGAAATAACAATTTATAATAAACTAATTTAATGTAAATATAAAAAAAAACTAAGAGAGAAAAGAAAATATACATATAATTTTTTTTAGTAGTGAAAGAATAATAAAAACTTTTTTTAAAACTGACTTCCAAACACTAAAAAGTAAAAAATGACTGAACGGGAGTTTTTGTTTACTATAGATACCTAATCAGATACTTTATATATGTAGCAATATACTCTATGTCAGATACTTTCGAAGTCATATAGTAATTGTCGAGAATTCTCGTGCCCTGAGAAATAAAAAAGGTCGAAATATCAGAAACCCTAGTCCTGACTTAGGAATTTCAAAGTATTCCCCATTTTTATAATATAAATAATATTTAAGTTACGCAATTGTTGTTATAATTGCCTATTTCAAAAAAAAAACTTCTTATCATAAATCTAAATAAATAAATCACTATTAACGCTAGGCTGATCATCGATTCTGACATATTTAAATTCATAATGGAGGCTGAGAGTGGAAATTATTATATTTTCTTCGCTTGTGTCTTCTGGGATAAAACAGAATAATTCATCGATCATCAGCTTGGAAAATAGCCTATTTTCCAAATTTGTTACAGGAATGCGGCACGGTACATACATGCGGTGGGTTTTAGTTGGAAGTACGATTGATCGCCACTTCTCTCTGTTGGCCGACATCCTGGTGCACTCATGCAGGGGACCACCAACAGCTAACTTAATTTGGTCGGTCCATCGCATGCATGATCGTCCTCGTCCTCTAGTGCCCTCCGTCTTGCCCTGTACGAAGGGCGCTCAATGGAGTCGTTTTTACACCGGGAGACGTTCCTAAGTCGGTGCCAGCCAATACAAAGCAAAGCATACCGACTTCGAATATATTTGATTAGGTATGTATAGTAAATGAAAACTACCAATCAGTTATTTTTTACTTTTTAGTGCTTTTTTTGAAGTCGGGTGTTTATTTTTTTATAAATTTTTTTTTTAATATTTAGTCAAGTTTTTAGTTTTTTTTAAAAAAAAGACGCAAGATTGACAATCATAGGTGTCCGGGTTCGAATCCCGCTCGGATACAAAGGTATAATTTATTTTTGTTTTTCTTTTTGTATTTATTCAAGTTTTTAGTTTCTTTTTTAAAGAAAATTGTACTTATGAACCAAAAACTCCGAGCGAAGCTCGGTGGCCCAGGTATTTTTATATATAATATGTAGTGATTATTAGCACTTATCAACTTAATTTTATACCTGCTTAATTTTAAATTGAATGGAAAACTATAAAATGCCCACGAATTGAAGAATTGAAGATTGGGTGACATTTTATAGAAAATATTAAACAAATTATTTTTATACTCTTTTATTTCGTTATATCTAGTATACGTAATACGCACTAACATAAATTTAATAATACTTAATTTAATTTCAACAATATTTTTGTACATTTATTTGACGCGTATACAAATGAGGCTTGTTATTTTAGGGTATAACTGTAGGCAAAAGTTTAAGTGAACCTTATTTTTAGTCCTTAACCCTTATTCTAATGCCATTTGTCGTCGATTACATTTAATAAATATTTTTTGCCTTTTATTGCATTCAACGCAACTATAAAATAAATGCTTGTCTTTGGTTTAAATATCTTATAGTATATTTAACTGCGAAACGCTTTTTCTATTAGCATAACATTATTCAATCCATTCACGAAAACAGTTTCCCATAGAGTATTATATATTATTCTTCCACTTTTAACAAGTACAAAATTGGTGTTGGTCTTGCGTCATTCTTGACTCTCTGCGAAACCTTTTGAAGCTGAAATAAGTGCAAATTTGTTAAAACATGGTAATTAAATTAAAGTTGGATTTAATTATATGTATGTATAAGAGTTGTCTTAGCTCAGACATCATTCATACAAGTGTATGAATAAAAAGAAATCGTTAGATTTTTTTAGTTACAAGATAAGTAAATACATAGAAAATGAGATGTGTTTAGTTTAATACTACCGGACCCGAAAAATATTGCTCTGTCCAATCTATATGTAACCTTTGAGTTATTACAAAAACCTTATAAAAAATCACTTTCAGATTATCCTGAGTTTTCTAAATATACCGGCAACTATTTAAAATGTTTCCCCTAAAAACCTTATTAGGGATATTGTGATTTTTTATATTAAAATGTGAACATTTTAACATAAAAATTAGGTAAATCGGTTCTGTTCTGTTCTCAAGTGATGCGCATACCAACGAAAAGTATTTCATTTTAATTATATAGTAGACTAGCGACTCACCCTCGCTCCGCTCGGATTCGTCCCTAGTTACATTTTAATGTTTAGTAGGTATAGATTTCTCAGAGATGAGGAATTTTCCCGCAGTAAAAAGTATCCTTTTGTTGACCCGGATAACCAGCTATCCTCATACCAAATTTCATCAAAATCATGTCCAGTGGTTTTCTCGTTATGCGATCACAGACAGACATACAGACAGACAAACAAAAATTCTAAAAACTAAATTTGGCCTCTATATCGATAACAATGACTATTTCAATAAGTTTTTCAAAAAAATACTTTATGTAAATATGTACAGAAGATAAATAAAAACAACACAAACGAAAACTTCAAGTGAAAGATTTTATATCAATTTGCTTTTACTCTGAGGACTGAGTCTATTCTGTTAGAACTTTTACGTAATTCGACTACTGACATGTTTAGTTACACTTCAAACAACTATATGAAGTACTTTCGCGGATTCAGATATCGAGTTCTGTATTTCCAGAATAACCCTGACTGAACATAATACTTACGAACATCTTTGTATTAGATTTTTTATGCATCGATGTTTTCATGGGCTTATTTTGCAGATCACTATAATTTCTTATACGTTTCATTAACACAGTTAAATCATTAGGGCATACACAAGCCTCCTGTCTGTTTCTACATTCGCAATCCATTTCAGCATAGTCTCTCTTAGGATTTGTACATGAGCAAGGTATTTTCGGGTCGTCTACGTCAGGGCACCAGCAAGGCTTTTTTGGATCAACCGTATCAGAATAGTCTGTCTGTTCATCCGAACATATCGCTATGTTAATGGTACTGCAAAAGTAATACGCAAATGTTTATTTAATAGTGACACTTATTAATATTGGATATAGATACTTTATAGTTTACACTCTACAGTACTTCGCCCATTTTTCTTTTTATTTCTAGGTATAACGCTTTCTAGCGAAATAAATCTCTAAGAAAAAAATAATCATTTTAACACTTGTTTCGTTTTTATGTGAAAGGTGGACAAACACACAAAACATTCTTTGACGTTAGTAAATATTAGTATTTATGTATTAGGGATTTACGAAAAAAAATTAATGACTACATAATAAAAATTCAAACAGCGTTTTTTGCATCGGACAGATGTTCATGATTGATTTATTTAAAAACTTTCTCTTATTAAATACCTACTAAACTATTCATTTATTTTGTACTTACATAGACGAAACAATAAGGATGAAAGGTAAAAACATTTTGTAATAGGTATACTAAGTTCTTATTCACTGTTCACTAGGACGACCAAATTTCAAGTACGAAAATTGGGAACTGTCTCCCGTTTTTATACCAGACCGGACCAAATATATATGCAAAAGAGTCAATCATTATTGTAATAGCCTATTACATTTATTTCTCGTCTTATAAATAAATCTAAATAACATAAAAGAAAATGAATAAATAATTTAACTTAAATCACTATTTTTATAAGTTCCGTAGGTTTTAGAATATCTGCTACTTATACTTTTTTTTTAAATATCGGAAAAGTGCGAGTTTGACTCGCACGCCGGGAGGTGCCTTAATGAAACATAAAAATGTTACTACATTTATAATATGTATATATGTATTTAAAGTTATATATGTGTAGTGTATCAACTATCTGGTATCCATAACACAAGCCTCGTAGCTTATCATGGAACTAGATGGTGTTGTGTGTTAATGTCCCAACAAAATTTATTTATTTATAACCATTGTTTTTTTTTGTATTTATTCAAGTTTTTTGTTTTTTTTTAAAAGAAAATTGTACTCCTGACCAAAAACTCCGAGCGAAGCTCAGTGGCCAAGGTATTATATTATAAATCAAGCAATATCATAAAATGAAAAGTATACGTTTTCATTGTATTTAGTTTATTTATAAGCAAATAACAGATTTTTCTTATACATTTCAATTCAAAGTTATAAGGAAACAATCGGTATACATTTCACGCAAATTACTCGTTTAGTTTTAAAATACATTTTATTATAATATTGTACTATAATTATGCGTATGTATTTATTTATAAATAAAGCCAGTCCTTTGGGTTTCGAGTTACTGCTTCTTGGAGTGCCTGGAAGGAATCAAAATATCTTTTTAAATTTTATCATTTACTAACGATTCAACCTCGCTTCGCTCGTGTTCGTCCCTACTACTTTTAACGTTTAGTATAGATTTCTCAAAGATGAAATATTTTCCCGCAGTAAAAAGTATCGTATATGTTGACCCGAATGACCAGCTGTCACCATACCAAATTTCATCAAAATCTGCCCAGTAGTTTTCTCGCGATGCGGTAACAGACAGACAGACAGACAGATAGACAGACAGACAGAAATTCTAAAAACTATAGATTCGGCCTTTGTATCGATAATAATGACTATTTCAATAAGATTTTCCAAAAAATATTTAATGTACAGATTCGGCTTACTTAGAATTTTATTATATGTATAGATAAGTCTATTTACATTTTAAATGAGACAAGTGAATATGGCTTCTACATTTATTCGGGAATCAAACCTAGGATTTATATCGTAAAGTTGGTATGCAGGGCCAACTAAACTTCATAAGAAACTAAAACAGAATGTTTACTGATATGAATATATTATTAAGTTCATTAAAATAATATATTTTTTAAAAGGCACTTATACTTGGAACAAGTTAGTTTTGATCGAAGATGAAAGTAATTACCTGAATTTAGGTGAGAAACGACGTCTTCTAGTCTCGTTGTATTCAAAGGATTGGTTTGCTTGTTTCTCCTAGAAAAATGTGTTTTTTCAATATTAATATTTCAAATGGGTATAATGAATATAACTAAAGTATTTTTTTTTATATATTTTTTCATATTTTTTTACAATAAACAAAATTACAAATATACTTTATTATATATTATACTTTATTATATTAAATACTAAAGCAATTAATGTTATTAGGTAATTTGGGATATTCATAACTATAAATAGGTCTATGAGGCAATGCTAATTGTAGTTTCTATCCTATAAATATCAAGAAACTGTCAAAATTTAAGTTTTTTTTTTGGAATTTGCACCCATTTCAATCCTGCTTTACACAGATAGATTATGTCGTTGGCTACCACATGGGTTAACTGATTTTTGACACTGTCTTTTTGACATATGTAATATAATGTCAAAATGAATATTATTTATATTATATTAAAATAAGGCGTAGAAGAAGAAGGCTTTTACGCAGGCGAAACCGTGGTAACTGGCTAGTTTTCTATTCTTACCTCCTGATTCAAATCGCCTTTAGGTGGGCCGTACTCAGCGAAGCCAGGTGGTCCGTATTCAAGGAAACCCTCTGGTGCTTGTTCAAGAGATCTGAAATTAATTTTTCAAAATACAGTGTATATATTAATATTTAGTTAAATAACTTTAACATCAGTGCATTAAAAGACGTTCATTATAGTTTATACATATATTGGTAATTAAGATATTGAGAATAAATAAAGAAATATAAAAATTTACCCAGCTTCAGACACTTCGCTAACAACAGCTTGACTTACTTCCGCCTGAAATCAAAATATTATATTTAATTTTATAAAATTGTTCTATTAAGAAAATTCAATTGAAATTACCTATATAAAAATAGTTTGCTTATCTCTTGTACTTTTGCTTCTTTTTCTAAGCTAGCGATAATATCAGGAATGTTTTGAACCTGTACTAAGCTGACACCACTCTCTAATTGTGATCCTGATAGAGAAACTTCTGACTGTTCAGTAGATTCTGTCTGACTGACTTGCTGTTGTTCCTGTTGTGCTGTGGCTTCTTGATTGGCGGACTCTTGAGATACTTGCTCGGATACATTTTCAACTATCAGAGTTACTTGAGATACTTCCACATCTGAGGGAGTAGATTGAGATTCTTCACTCGCAACTTGGGTAGCTTCACTATTTTCATTCAATTGAACAGATTCGGTGGATCCTTCAGAACTGGCTTCATTTTCTAATTGTAAAAGCTCAACCTTAGTAGCTTCAACGTCATCAGATACGGTGGTTTGCGAAGATTCTACAGCTTTTTCAACCTCTGCAAGTGGCTCAGATACTGTGCTTTTCTCTTCTGTAGCGAAGGACTCAGTTGCAGCTTCAGATGACTGTTTTAGTAAAGCTAGAAATAAAATTAAAGACACATATTAATAAAATAAAACATATATAGCAAATTCTTTTTATATGCATTTAAACCTCTTTCGAATGAACTAAGCTAGATCCAGTGAGATTTAATCTAGAAATAAGTTTGTTTTAAAGAAATAAGGTATACCTTCAGTCACAGAGATAACTGGTTGTACTGCGGCTTCGTTTTTAATTTCAAACTGTGAAACACCAAAGGTCTGTTCGATAGTAACGTCTGGAAGACCTTGGTTAATCAGGTTTTGTGACACTTCTTGTGCTACTGGAGGTCCATACTCTTTAAGGAAATCAGATCCTGATGCCTCGGAGCCTTCTAGAACAATCTCTTTAGGGCTTTCTGATGAAGTCTTCTGCAAGTAAATGAATATTTTGGTATTATTTGTAATTTTTTGTCGGTTTTGTTTGCTTATCGATTTAAATAACTTTATTTACTTAAATAAAAATAGTTTTTAAATACTAAAAAGATTTTTTTATACATTTAATATAATTGTTGTTTTCGTAATTAACTTGTGTTATGTTTTACCAAATATATAAATATAAAAAAATATACCGCTTCAGAGGGTAAATAAAATGCTGGTCCCTGAGGTCTCCATCCGCTGGGTAGATATGGTCCAGAACCTTTTGCGGATACTGAAGCTACCGCGAGAAGTACTAAAGCAAACACCTAAAAGAAAATATAAATATATTGGATGTTCATATGTAAAACTTTTAAAATTGAACTTTAATAAAAGAATAATTAGACTAATAATTATTTTCAAAACCTGCTTACATATTAAAGGTAACTGGATAATAATAGAGTTAGGTCATTTTATTTAAAAATCTCTATTTATAGACTTAATTCAATAAAATATTCAATTCAGTTTTAAAAATGTAGTTTAAAATATATTTATAGGACAATTCTCCATTTAATAAAATATTTATAAAAGTATTAAATTACCTGCATGTTGATCAGATATTGAGATCTTCGAAAACAAGATGCGAATGATGCTGTGCTCTGATCGGGGCAGAATTTATACTAAAAATTGGCGCTATTAAAAAAATTCAAACAATCCAAGGCTTATGGCAAATATTTGAAATTTAACTAATTGTCTTTGAACCTCACGATGCTAAGTAGAGCGGTGGTCAAGGTCACTCGATTTACTTAGGATTAAGATTAAGCTTTTATTTCTTACTAAAAGCTTCCCTTAATTCAGGTCTTAAATAACTAGTAGGGTCTAGTGCATCTTTATACTGTTAATCTATACATATAATAAAATTGTAAAAAACCGAATCTGTACATTAAATATTATTTGGAAAATCTTATTGAAATATTATTATCGATACAGACGCTGAATCTATAGTTTTTCGATTTTTTGTCTGTCTGTCTGTCTGTCTGTCTGTCTGTCTGTCCGTCATCACAGAAAAACCACTGGAGGGATTTTATTGAAATTTGGTATGGTGATAGCTGGTTATTCGGGTCAACATATAAGATACTTATTACCGCGGAAAAATATCTCATTTCTGAGAAAAATACAAAAACTGTAATGTAAGAATACATATACTAATATGTAAAATCTAAGAATTTGGTTTTTGGTAATCTGAACGCGGGCGGAGCTGCGGGCAATGCTAGTATAATACCGAATACAAAGTGCCATAATATATCAAATCCTTGTACTGTGTCAATGCAAAAATATCACTATGATATGCTTTTTCATTGACACGTGTCATAAGGGTAACACAATAAAGTAGAAACACAATAATAAAATATATAAAACTTTCAATAAAACTATATTTTTCCATTTTGCCGCAGTTATATTTTTATGCTTTATTTTTTTATTTTTATTTTGTCCGAAAATCCGGAAATATAGTTTTTTTTTAAATGTCAATTAGTATTTGTGTAAATCTAAGAAAGTTTATAAAGTTGCTATTATTGGCTAATTCGTCTACTGGATATTAAGTTCTAAAATTTTGATAGCATTCTCCTATAAGGCTAATAAAAATTGAACAACCTCTAATAGGGCGTTCTCACCCTTTCCTGAGACGAAAATTGTATGGGACGCAATATTTTTAGATGCTCGATTAATAAAAAGATCTTTGACGCCAGAGTATGCTAATAGATATGTATATAGTTATTCTAAAATATCAATAATGTTAATTTCATCTATACATGTAATAAATTCTAATGAGTCGAATTTGTACAGTAAATATTTTTTGGAAAATCTTATTTAAATAGTCATTATTATCGATACAGAGGCCGAATCTATAGTTTTTAGAATTTTTTGCTGTTTGTCTGGGATAGCATCACGAGAAAACCACTGGACAGATTTTAATGAAATTTTGATACTAGAATACTTTTTACTGCGGGAAAATATCTCATCTCTGTGAAGTGTGAAATATGTATATACTAAACGTAACTACGTAACTAGAATTTATATGTATTTATTACTTGCTAAAATTTACATTACATGACGTTACATAAAAAATACTCACTTTCATCTAACATTTTAGAAATCTAGTTTAGAAATTAAATTGACTATTAAAGTAGCAAAACTGTAGCAGTTACTATTGCATACTTTTGTATGAATGTATATATGTTTGTATTCAGCCCTTTTTTAACGTCCTACTGATGGGCACGGGCCTCCATACAATCAGGGAGATTTTATTCCACCACGCTGGCCAAGTGTGTGTAGGTGGACTTCACATGTCTTTCGAAAACTTGCTAGGTTCTCTCAGACATGCAGGTTTCCTCACGATGTTTTCCTTCATCGTAAGACAAGTGGTAATCATGTTGGAAATTATTCGCACATAAGAATATCAGAGGTGCGAGACCCGAGATTTGAACCCGCTTCACTCGGTTTCCTAAGCGAGAGCGTTATCACTGTGCTACTCAGACTTTAATTTTAATGACAATGCTTACAAATACAAAGGTTGTCAAAAATAAGTCAAAAAACACCAATTTTTAAGGCAAACGATATAGAAGTAGTTGCGAAGCGCTGAAATGCCATCTCGTGGCAAATAAGAATAAAATGGATTGCATCAAAACCTTATCCAGGAAAAACTTTTATGTACATATTAACAACTTAGTCTCGCCTCGAACGAATTTTTATTTACAGTTTAATCTCTCACTCATGAATCTTCTTCTTTATTAATTTCAAAATTAAAATATAATTTTTATTTCATAATTTAAATCTATTATAATAATATTATTTGCTTAAATCCTACATCAAAATTTAATTCCTCAGAATTCTATCGATCACGTATTACTAGATCAATGAAGGTAAATATTGATTGATTTCGCAAACGTTTTGTTTGACGTTGATAATGGGTTACACAACGCAATCTAACTAGCGACCAAGGATAAGGGATTAATTAATACTAAACATACTCATTTTATAAATCCGAAAGTAAGTCTGGCTGTCTGTTACGTTTTTACGTCTAAGCCTCAAAACCAATCTTGTATTGCTCGTGATAGTTAAAATTTTATTTAACACAAATTCTTTCCTGTGAGTTCTTTTATTGAGAATACTTCACACATTTGTGTATGTGCATTCAGCCCTTTTTAATATCCCACTGCTGGGCGCGGGCTTCCCTTCAATATGAGAGTTATCAGGCCATAGTCCACCACGCTGGTCAAGTGCGGGTTGGCGGATTTCACATGCTTTTCGAAAACTCGTTAGGTTCTCTCAAACATGCAGGCTTCTTTACGATGTTTACCTTCACCATAAGGCAAGTGGTAATCATGTTAGAAATGATTCGCACATGAAAATATCAGAGGTGCGAGACCCAGTATTTGAACTCGCTTCACTCGGTTTCCCAAGCGAGCGCGTTACCACTGGGCTACCACTGCCTATTCTGCACATTTAATTATACGTAATCTTTTAATATTTTAAGATAATTTTTTACCTTCTATTCCTACAATGGCATATTATATGACGTGCTCAATTCGTATATTTGTTCAACTAAATTTATTAAATAGTTTTATTTGCTTTTATATCAAATATCTTGTTAAGACTAAATCTGACATTGGCAATGATAAAGAAATCGTCTTTAAATAGATGATGTCGTGTTAATGGAGTGCGGGTTCGTAGTTAACTCCTCAGTCTGCGGTCTACATTCGGTTCTAGAAGTGCTATACGGTAGTGATTCGTGCATCTTTATCTAAGTTTTTAAAATTCTATTTAAAAAAAAGTTAAATTATTACAATATTATCAATACGTCTACTATCACTTCAAATAAAACTATCTTTTCGAATTTTTTCGCGGATTTATTTTAATTTTTCTTTTCCATTTTTTTTCGGATTTATTTTGATTTTTGGTTTCCGACGTTTCGAATGCTTTACAGCAATCATGGTCACGGGAAAATAAATCCGCGAAAAAATCCGAAAATATAGTTTTATTTAAAATGTCTAATATTCGCGTAAATCTAAGAAAGTATAACGTTTACTATCAATCAAAAGTGTTGAGAATAACTGATGAAAGAAAATTAGTGAACAATACATCATGAGAGTCATTTAATGTATCAGGATATAAAGCACCCTTGGTGCTAATGCAGAATATTGTCTTTTTAAGTTTTATCCTGATTGGTTTAACAGTTTTTAATATTTAACACCTCCTAGTAAATTTTTAAGAAATTAATTAAATTTCTAAGAAACCTATTGTTAACTGCCGCCGGCGTGTCCGCGGTCGTTGAGGCATTAAAGATTAACATGATCATATTGCGTTTATATCGTTTGTAGGACGAAATAGAAACACATTTATTTTAACATAAATAAATTCATTTATTTCAAAAACGAAAACGTCAAAAACCAATATACATATTAAATAAACATTTAACTATAAATTTCAAAAACACAATATAATATTTAAAAGGATAAAAAAACACAATTTTAGTCAATATCCTGACCGTGCATCCTGACCGCTCTTGTATCCGTTACCGATATTACGGGTGTTAGCGTTACCATTGTATCCGTTGGAACGGGTAAGATCTTCTGTATCCTCATAGGAAATCTGGGGTTTGAATCCTCGTTCATCTGCTTCATAGCTGACGGTCTAGAACAATTATTATTAGTTATTAATTTTAATTAGATACTTTTAACTAAACATTTATTTTTCGTAATACGAGTATTTTTTGTTGCCGGATGGAGGATGTTTGGTTTTTTAACAGAATAATTACATTTAATAACGGCCATTTTAATTAAAAAAAAGAAATAAAATTCATCAGTTTCACACATTTACGAGAAGTCACATCTATTATAATAATAAATCACTTTTCCGTAATATTTAGAAAAAAATATATATTTAAATAAGTTAAACTTTGAACCTGTTATTTATTTACCTACTACGAAAACGTAAGTTCTAACAAATCTACCATAGGCACCATGAAAGAAATTATGTACATGATTTAAGCAACCATTACCTGCTTTCTACCATCAGGCAAAACCACATGATACTCTCCCTGAGCCCTTTCTTCCAGTCTTTCCTCATGATGCCCAAAATCTGTTCCTTCATTGAAGTCATTGACCATGTACCCAAAGTTGTAATTCGCCGGTTCCTGCACACAGAATATAGTATAAGTACTGTTTGTTTGTTTGATTTTTTTTATATATAAATTGATATTTTAGCCTTCTAGTACTTATGCTTTCTTCTGTGCTTTAGCAATAGATGTTAGAACTGATTTTTATGATTTTTTAGTGTTTTTTTCTATATTTGTTAGTATTCGTAGTAATTAATTATATACACAATAAGTAATTTACGACTTTAATATTTTTAAGCTGAGTTTCAATGAAAATATGATGATGAGGCTTATGATTATTTTGGCTTTTTATTTTAGCGACTGATTAATAATATTTAATAATGAATTCATAGTGAAAATAGTTTATTTTTAATATTAGTTAATTATTACTGAGATAATTTTATTTAAATATTTATAAAAACTCACCGAGCTTACGTCTACGGTGTTCCTAAACAAGTCGCCCGAGTTTCCATCGTATCCCTGAGCTTGCCCACGTCTTACTTGTCCGTGCTCATGAAGACTGCTCCTGAAGAAGTTACGTTAATAAATATATTTTAAAACAATACATGTCCAAGCTGTTTCATCAATTCTTAAAATAAATCATTGAATCTAAGGCCTGAAATATAGATAGTTGCCACATTTTTTTTAAATTTAAAACCCTAGAGGGATGACCAAAATTATGTTTAAAAATATTTTACTGTTTAAATGTCTAAAGAGTGCAACATAAATACTTCTTTTTTATGTCATTTATTTTACTTACAATAATGTCTTAAGTTTCATCTGTTATTTACTAATCATCATATATTTCTTGCGATGAATATTTTTGTAAAGAAAATTCTTAAACAAAATATCAAACTATTTTTTAATATATATAATTTATAGTAAACAAAAATTTATATTTACTATTATAATTTCAGAATTTCAGAAATTGTTAAAATTTGAATGGAACATTAATAGACTAAGATAGATATAAGATACATTTTTATTCAAGTAATATAATCCCGTAGCACAAACAAAAATAATAAAGGAAATTTTTTTGTAAGAAATTTCAGTTTTCATGCGATTGTTGTAAATATCATATTTTAACTAACCTTGCGCCATTGAGATGACCGTTAACTAGAGCCCTCGCCGCAACTACTTGAGGGATTATCGGAAGACTTCCATCGGGCCCTTTAGGGTAGCCAGCATTACGATTCGTCGGAGATGGTGGGAGGTAGCTGTGAATAGCATATAATATGTAGAAATATACAGTAGATTTAAATACATGATTCATATAAATCTATAATGTATAAGTTCTTACATAATTAAATTCAGGTCTGTTTTATTAAATTATACATTGAGTTTGTTAATATAAAAGACATCAACGCACTCGAAAAATAGCATGTATGTAAAACTTTAAATTCATATTATGCTCATGCTTATTATTTGTGTTTATAATATCGACGTAAAAAAGCTATAAAAATGTAAGCCAATCTAAAATTAATAATTTATCGGATAATTATGGTGATAGCTTGATGTTTAATTTTATAGTAATACCTATAAATTTTTAACCTGAGCAAAAATTAAAAAAGACCGCTGAAAGTAGACGCAAAAAGTTAAGTATACATAATTTTAAATAATCTTTTTCTGTTACAATCATGTTTATTACACTACCTGTGTGAAAGTGGTGGTTCGGCCAAGGCGAAGGCAGCCACGACCACAACAACAAAAATTGACTGAAACAAAAAAACACTTAAAAATTCAGCACCATATCTTCTTTGCCATTTCACGTCACGTAAAACAATTCTTTATATTAGGTCCTCGAAGAATAATAAGTAATATAATATTAAAATGTCTTTTTCATCGTAGGAAAATGAGCTTGATGCTGTAACGGACGACGACGGCGGATTAAGATTTGGAATGAAAAAAGCTCATATTCTAAAACATCATATAGGTTATTTTTATATAAAATATATTTATATATCACGCATCGACAATAAATATATACTACTTTGTTTATCTTTGGTTTTAACAAATAAAGTAGCATAATACTTTCTTAGATTTACAGTTGACATTTTAAATAATAATAAATAAATCTTCTTATCCCGAAGTTTCAAATGCTTTACAGCAATCATGTCTGTCTCTCTCGTCTCTCCCACGACGTCGTAGCTGTAAGCATTCGAAAAGTCGGGAACCAAAAATCGAAATAAATCTGCGAAATAATCCGAAAAGATAGTTTTATTTATAAAATAAAATAGTACCTATATATTTTTCGGTAAAACAAAGCGGAATAAATTGTTAGACGTACAATAAACTTCAAAAATCAAAAACATTTATATTGACATATATAGGAATCATATTCATTAATTTATATGGATTGACATTATCTTTTAGTTTTAAAACAAAATTTTAATGCATAAGCATGTCTAAGAATATATAAAACTAACATATTATTACGAACTAAATTGGCAATTAAATGTGAATATACTATTGAAAAATACTTAAACCGTTACTATAATCGTTACGTTTATTGCGTCTTAATATTTAAAATATTATGCAACTACTTAAGTTTTACTATATAATGTGTAGATTACTTAACTCACCTTCATGATAGATGAACTAGATGACACACAAGAGACAAGTGAAGTGATACTCTCGTTCTAATTGTACACGTTTTTATACTAATGCTTATTTAAAGGTAGGGGGTGAAAAATTACTCTCATTACCGACATAATAGAACAGCTTTCAAGGTGGATGATGATCTCAGGACAAAGTTTCTAATGAGACGCGACAATGTTAAAGAATTACTTATTGAAATTTATTTCATATCATAATAAGTACATAATATATATAATATAATATACCTAAATATTTTGATAAGAATATAGAAAAATCGATATCTTAAATTTTATCTATACATATAATAAAATTGTAAGTAAGAACATATTTTTTGGAATATCTTATTGAAATAAACATTATCGATACAGAGGCCGAATCTATAGTTTTTAGAATTTTTGTCTGTCTATCTGTCTGTTTGTTACCGCATCACAGAAAATCTACTGGAGGGATTTTGATAAAATTCGGTATGATGATAGCTGGTTACCCGGGTCAACATATAGGGTACTTTTTACCGCGGAAAAATATCTTATTTCTGAGAAAATACAAAAACTGCAATTTAAGAGTATACTAATCGGGAAAACCTAAGAATTTGATTTTTGGTCATCTGAACGCGGGCGGAGCCGCGGGCAATGCTAGTAATTGATAAATACGTTAAAAATTCATTTTAACTGTGATGAACGAATTTCTAAACTGTATTATTGTAACTGATATAAATATTGACTCTACCGTAGTACAGTCAGTATTTTTTAAAGTGTGTAGTGAGTCCGATGGGATTTTCAATCAGCAATTTATTAAGTCATAAATTTTTGAAAATATTCTCAACCGTTTTATAGATTGATTCGTAAATAAATTCCTTATGTAAATAAGGAACTCATGTTTACACAGCTATTTAGGGTGTGCTTTATCTGTAGCTACATGTTAGCGTTAAATAAGTAAATAGCTATATGTCTTTTATAAAAGTTAATACTAAATAGCATTTTTTTATATAATTTATAAATTTTAATAAAAAAGTACGCTATATATCCATATATTACGAATTGTTTTGCTACAAGATATAAGCAAAGTGTGAATATAAAAATTAAAAAGGTTAAAAATTATCTTTAAATTTTTTATGTATATTCAATTTTAGTTTTGGTAAAAAATAATATTTTTATGACATGTGACACGTACAACGAAATATTTTTTAACAAAGCAACTCTACGTATGACTCTATCCACGATATAAGGGTGTGGTATGTATATACATATATACGTACATATGTTGTCACGTCGTGATCACGGTTTCCTGTATATTTTTGCTTAGCTAAGGTCACTTATATAAAAATATTATTCTATTATATTTTCACATATACGTAACAAAACTGTTTACTAAACTTAAAGTCATCAGTGCCTTTAATAAAAAGCAAAAAAAAAACATACTCGTTTATAAATTAGATTTTTAGTAATACACGTATGTATGTATTTCTGCGCAAATCAGAAGATGGGAGGACATTATACGTGACTCTACTATGACAAATCAAACTCATCCTACTCCCTACTTAATCTTCTTCTCCCTGCCCATTTCCCAAATCACTTGGGGTCGGCGCAGTACATCTTCAGTGTACTGCTGATAGGATTTGGCAAAAGTTTTACGACCGGCCGCCTGCCTGACGTCAACCCTCCTTGGGAATGCTATTGTCTTTCTTTGTCTGAATGGTGTTAAATATTATGCACTTTCGATTTTGTTGTGTTTTAAAACATTTTTTATACTATTAATTCAATTATTAATGTTATTTTGGATATATTTTAGAATAGATTTCGATTACACAATAAATTTTGTATTGACATTGTCAAATTTTTTCTTCAAAGTTTTTTCTACTCCCTACTTAATAATATATTATAAATGCTAAAGTTTGTGACGATGTATGGATATTTCTTACTCTTTCACGCAAAAACTACTGAATGGATTTTAATGAAACTTTACAATAATATAGTTCAGATCAGCGATGAAATAACACATAAGCTACTTTTTATCCCGGAAAAATGTACGGTTCCCGTGGGATTTGTTTTTCTAGAGGTGAACGCAAGCGAAGCGACGGTGAACAGCTAGTTTATTTATAAATCAAACTACGCTTGGAGTTATTCGTTCATTTACTATTTCTGTATGCAATATTATTATTTTTTTTGAACCTTGAGCTTGAATTTACGGTCACTCGTTTTTGTATAAGATTAAATATTACATAGTTGTTATAATAATAAAAATAACCATTACACTTTCTTAGCTTTACGTGAATATTTGACATTTAAATAAATCTTTTCTGATTTTTTTGCGGATTTATTTAGTATTTTAATTCACGATGCGACGCTTCGAAATCTGAGAGTGACCATGATCGCTGTAAAGCATACGAAACGTCGGGAACTAAAAATCAAAATAAATCCGCAAAATAATCCGAAAAGATAGTTTTATTTAAAATATCACAATTACTTTCCGCTCGATAAGAAATCATATGTTACAGTTGAGCTGACATTTCAAAAAAAAGTATATGTGTGCAATTGACACATGGTACAGTGAAACAGAAAAGTAACCAATTTTTTTATTTTCATCATTAGTTTAGCCAATTTCTACACGCTTAGCAGCGTTTTGGCAAGTTAAGCTGGGGCTTAACTCATCCTCTAACAAATGAAATATTCATATGTGAATCTTATTTTCAATATGATTTAAAAATAAATTGCTATAAAACCTTTTTTTATTTTAGTTTTTTAATAATACGGGTGCATATAAATTTACCCTTGAGTTTAACCTGTACATTGTAAATATTTTATTCATGAAATTCGAGTAACATAATATACAAGTACATCGAGTAACATAATTTAGGATATGCAATTGTGTGTAGTAAGTACACCGCCTACCATTTCATATAATTTCTCCTACGCCCTAAGGTTGCCTGGAAGAGATCGCTTATAGCGATAAGGCCGCCTGCTGTGCATCATCTATTGTTTATATCTTCTTTTTGTATATTTATTTGTGGTGTACAATAAAGCATCTATCTATCTATCTATCTACAAATTAATATGTATATTAATCTAATAATTACACATTGGATATATTCTTCTATTTTTAAATCGGTTATAAAAAATAAATTAATAGTAAAAAACATTTTAAATAAAAGAAAATTCTTGATAGAGAATCAGGTCATAATTATCATTGAAGTCATTGTCAGCGGAACTGAACCAACATGTAAAATTTCAACTCTGTAGCATATGAGGAAGTGGTTCTAATTCAGCTTGCAATTCAGCAATTTTCAATGTATTCAGAAATTTTTAACCCACACAAACATAACTAATATTGCAAGTTAAATTAAAGCTTGTAAAAATAAATAGCTATAATATAATAGTATAAAATGTTGATTCAAAGATGTAAGTAATTATTGTTTTTATGAACTTTCTTCTATTTGAAATATTTAATAACTAATATTTAACTGTATAAATAGTTGTATAACCAAAAGGAAAGATATATATATTGTTTTAATATGTTGGAGGACTTAGTATGAGGTCCTTCTTCTAATCATATATGTATGTACAAAAATAATATTAAAAAATATTTTTATTTGAGTTCAGGTTTTGAGAAAAAAATATTATTTATTTTCAGAAAATATTTATTTGCGCATGAACTACATACGAATATTATGTATAGGAGGCAGCACACAACTTACTTACTATGAGGTACATTTTTATTGTTTATTATATATAAGTATATTTTAATGTTTGGTTTTTTATTTTTATTTTTTATGTTAATTTAAAAAAAATATGAAATACACATAAGTGGAAAAGTAAAAACAAACAAAATTCGGTACAAGATATGAAGAAAATAGGGTAAAATTTTAAAGACACACTATAATACCGATCAGAGTTTGTGCTAGTCCGATACCGATCTGGTAAATTATTTTTCCACAAGCAACAATGAGTGCATTTAAACTATCAGTGTTTGATCGAATCACACTCCAGCAACGTTGCTAGTATAAAAATCCTTTACCAAACCGATATCTGATCGAAAACGGACCGACGCACATAGGTGAAATTTACTCAAAAGTTATATATATTACGTGAAGTGTGTTTACGCCTATATATTGCTTTAGTTTGTTTAAAATAAAAGTTTAAATATATTATGAAAAATAAAGCTTTATTGATACTATACTATACGAAAAAAGAGAATACAATTTGAAATCATAACTTCTGGTTCTTTTAAAGGAATTATAACATCTTGAGCATAAGACTTAAAATGTCTTTACATGGTAGTTTTCTGAGACTTGTAATGTGAGGAAATGATGCTATTAAAAGTTGGCGAAACAAGCCTTCTGGAAAATTTCCGAGTAAAACATTCACGGGGTTTCGGGCCTAATCGTAATTATTTGACGATAATTCTATTTTAAGACATTTATAAAACATAATTATCGTCTTTATTATAATGTTAATAAGGTCCATCCCCAGAACGGTCGAGGTCTGACGCGTTGTCATCATGCCCCGACCCCGAGCTGACCTCCGCTGGCTCTACGGAGATTCTGGGTCTAAATCCACGCTCATCTGCTTCATATTCTATTACCTGGAAAATGTTTAAAATAATAGAATTATAATGTTATTGAAATAATAAAACATAATATTGACTGCTGATTTTGCCTTCGACTCTGTTTCTATTTAATACTAACTGACCCGAAAAGCTTTGTCTTGCTAAATTTCAATAGATTTATTATCTTTAACAAGGCATTTTCGCATAAATACATTATTTGGGTTATTACGAATGTTTAAAAAAATCTAATTTGTTTTTTTTCTTTCTTGGTTTTCAAAATTGGTTGAACTTTTTTCAAGTAATGCGCTCAACAAGGAACAGCTCATCAATTTAATTTATATAACAAAAGAGATCCATAGACCATAGAAAATTACTAAGGTACAATTCGTATTCAGTAATGAAACAATATGAAAATATACTTAATATAATAAAATAAATAGTTTCGTAAATATGGTTTTTAATTTAGAATAAAAATCAATATACGAGTATGATAGAATAATGAGTTTATGTAGGTTATAAATATCTTGTTGGTTAATCTTATATTCAGACAGTATGAACTTTAAATAACTTACTTGTTTAGTTCCATCTGGCAACACTAAGAAATAAGTTCCTTCTACTTTATTATCTTGCCTGGACTCAGTATGACCGAAGTCGCTACCACTGTCGATGTCATTCACTTTATACCCGAAGTCGTAGATAGCTGGTTCCTGGAAAAAGTTGTAGAACATTGTGATTTTTCAAATATCTTATTTTATCTTTTTTGATATTATTATAATTGGGAAAGTCCCGTGTTTTTTTATACGATTCATTTATTGAAACGCAAAAGTACTCACTTGGTTCAGAAGTTCGTCAAGAGCATTCCGTGCGTAGTTGTACCCTTGGTTAGATTGTGAGTCGTACTGTTCAGGAACTCCGTACTGATCTGATGGCATCGCGTCTCTAGCTGATGGTACGCCGTATTTAGCGGATGGATCTGGCCTATATCCAGGTAAAATACGATAAAATAATCAAGTTAATTTAAGTAAATGAATATATATAAAAACTTAAAAAAATAAATAAAACCGACTTCCAGGCACTAAAATGTAAAAAATAACTAAACGGGGGTTTTCATTTAGAATACATATTTTTGAAGTCGGTGCCAGCCGACGCATAGGAAATCTAATATGTTTTGATACGTAAAATATATATTTACCAATTACATATTCATATCGCTGGCACCGACTTTGAAAATATCTGATTAGGTATCTATTCTAAATGAAAACCCCCGTTTAATTATTTTTTACATTTTAGTGCCTGGAAGTCGGTTTTTTTTTTAAGTTTTTATTTTTATATTTTTAGTGTAGACGTAATAAGCAGGTAATTTGTAGGAAGAAAGTTTTTAATAACATATTCGATTAAACAATTTATTTAAAAAAATATTTATTGTTGATTTTTTTAAAACCGCTCGACCGATTTCGATAAAATTTATATGGGACCCCTTGGGAAGTATACCCTTTTAAAACAAAACAATTTCAAAAAAAAAATCCAAATCGGTTCAGGCATCTTCGAGTAATCGGTGAACATACATAAAAAAAAGATTCCGACGAATTGAGAACCTCCTCGTTTTTGGAAGTCGGTTAAAAATAATAATATATATTTTATGTTAGAAATGAATAAAATTCACAACGTGACACTTAAAAATAAAACTTCTACTTTTATTGCTTTCAATTAATAGTAGTTTCGTACTATTGTGATTCCTATAGAATAATTTAAAATACTGAATCTTTACCTGTTCTCAACGTAAGATGGTGCAAAGGTGTTAGTTTTCAAATTCGTTTTAGCTTCTGAAGGTCCTGTGAATTCAGCGGATAGGCTTCGTTCATTTGGTGCTCCATATGTTTGTGATACGGTTCTGGAGCTGGGAAGATAGGATTGGGAAATTGACTGTGTTTTAGGCGTATAGGAGTCAGAATTTCTAGTGGAAGGTATTTGATGGCGAGAGAAAACAGGACGAGCATTGCTAAAACTTTGAGTTCCATCGTTCCGTGATAAAAGTGATGATTGAAAGTTCCTAGTAACAACACTTGATGGCTTGTTTTGTCTCGACTGCACAGAGTTCTGATGTGATAAAGTATTTACGTTTTGTACACTACGAAATCCGGGATAGTTTTGAGATGATGAAACAGACTTTTGAGATGATAAGAGATTATTTGGTCCAAATACAGAATATTCTTCGGAAGGGCCTGATTTCAATTCAGGTTGTCCGTACTGAGTTGATGGAGATCTTTGTAGAGGTGCTCTATAGGAATCTGAAGGAAAGTCCCCCATGGTTTCATATTTTTCAGAATCTCTTAATTCGAGAACGCCATATTCTTGAGATATACGTACGTTGGGAGTATTGAAATCGGTTGAGTATGAAGGCGCTCCGTATTCTGTAGAAGGAGTATTTATTTGATTGGGTGGCCTATATTGTAGTGAGAGACGAGCACTGGGAACTCTGTATTCTTGAGATGGACTTGATGTTAGACTTGGAGCGCCATATTCTTGGGACAGACTTGATCGATATTCTGGGAGGCCGTACTTTTGTGATACAGAGGATTTCGATGCAGGAATATAGGAGGATATTTGAGATCTGGAGACAGCAGAGTCATATCCTTTTTGGTTTCGAGCTCCAATTATAGGTGATCCAAACTCTTGAGGCAGCACTCCTTGGATATTAAGACTGTGGTCATGATCGTGGCTTGATCGAGCGGCTGGGTATCCACCCCTAGAAAAAAACCTTTATTAAATTATTTTAGTATTCAATTATGATTCCTATTCGTTTTCTTTGTAAAATGTATGTATTACTTTAATTACATCACGACTTGTTGCAATTAACTCCTATATTTACGCATGTATTGTTATGTACTTACCCTACAGGTAGCTCCGCCAGAGCACAGGTGAGAAAAGCAGAAAACATAAAGATCTGTAACAAAAAAATATATTAATTATATTAATATAATTATTTTAAACTATTGTTCTTGATTCTACACCAAAATATAATGAAGGATTACCTACCCTCATTCTCGTCTTTGTTCTTTTTTTTTTGTATCTGAAAAATAGAAATATATTTTAGTCAAATAACTTTTTTCAATAAAATATTTTTAAACATCTCATAAAGAGTTATAATACAAAACAGTATCTTACTTCTTTCTCTATTTTAACTACCTACCTAAGTTAAAAAAACCAACTAGGTTTTTTACACGTGTAAAAAACCAACTCTTCGGAACCTTCGTTTCAATCTGGTATTTACCAATAGACTAGTGACCGTTGAATGGTATCATCCCAACGACATACCACTATTTATACTAAATTTAATTTGACAATGTGAACCCTGGACAAATTAAAAAACATGTTTCGTAAATGAAAAAGTACAGATTTTCGACCATATTCCTTTGCAATAGTGATGAAGGCTAGCTTTGCTCTTAGATTTGCTATTCTTGTACCTAAGTATCGACATTGAACTTGACTCAGATATACTATTGCTTAAATAAATCGATATGTCGTGTATAATGCTACATTAGCGACAAAACTGGAGCAAAATCGCTTGTATTCAAAAGCAAGGACCGTATAATCCGGGTTCAGAGTTGCCTAATAAAATGATTACCCATTCGAAATGATTTTAGAAAAACCTTGTCTGCCCTTGGTGTCTACAAGTGGTATCCTAACAAGCGTACTGTCTGACAATTGACGACGAGATTTTTAATATGATTCCATATAAAATATATAAAAACTTAGCTTTATACTTTAACGATTTGCGGCCCAATTTTATACACCTTTGCTACTTGTTACATGCCCAAGTCATCATGATCCAAGCTTCATAGTCGGGGATCGCTCTTACCTGTATTAGGGACATAAACAGAGAAACATTTTTTTTCTTATTTACTCTACTAAATATTTCCCTATTATATATAAATATTAAAACTAGCATTGCCCGCGGCTCCGCCCGTGTATAAATGAACAAAAACTAAATTCTTAGGTTTTACATATTAGTATATTCTTACATTGCAGTTTTTGTATTTTTTCTCAGAAATGAGACATTTTCCCGCGGTAAAAAGTATCCTGTATGTTGACTCGGATAACCAGCTAGCACCATACAAATTTCATCAAAATCCATCCAATGGTTTTTCTGTGATGCGGTAACAGACAGACAGACAAAAATTCTAAAAACTATAGATTCGGCCTCTGTATCGATAATAATGTATATTTCAATAAGATTTTCCAAAAAATATTTAATTTACAGATTCGGCTTAGTTACAATTTTATTATTTGTATATATTGTAATTGTCGATATTGAGGTTCTTTTTCCAAAATTACATAGATAGCCTATAAAATCCATAAGAATTTTGAAACGGGCCCATAGATTCAGAGATGTACAGACAAACAAACTTTTCATCTTTATATTATGTACCTAAGTACACGTATATTGATGAAGGTTATCTAACATCATGCTGCATCTTTTAGCAGTAAAGTAGTTATATATAAATAAAATACGCGAGCAGATTCGCGGGTAAAAGAAAAGAAAGTCAATAAATTTTGGGTTTTAGCAGTCCTTTTCTATAATAAGCTTAGCTATGATAAAGCTCATACTCCTCCATACATACAAGCAATATGCTTAAAAATTCAAAGATTTTTTTCACGTATACCTTTAGATAGTCTGAAAAATCGTATTTGGTTTTTTGTATAGTCATAATCTAATATATAAAAAATACAGTTTACATACAATATTTTCAAATTATGATACGTTTAACAATATATGTAAGTACTCGTAGTGTCGCCAAATACCGTGTTCATTGATATTAGACGAATATAACATGATACGTAGATAAAACATCTTCTCCCTGTCCATTCCCAATCACTTGGGGTCGGCGCAGTACATCTTCTGTACTGCTGATATGATATGGCAAAAGTTTTACGACCGGCCGCCTGCCTGACGTCAACCCTCCTTGGGAATAGATACAACATATCATAATTATAATGTAACTGTTGAACATATGATTTACTGATTGCTGGTAATGAACATATACTGATTAAGTTGCTAACGGATACGAGGGTCTGGTCCCTCGCTAGTGGCCTCCAACCTCCCCTATAGCCACCCCGAGCCTCACTAAATAGGTAACTGTTCTGATTTAATAAACTGATTTAACTAATCTCGCATCACTGGTCTGATTTATCTGATAACATGTTAACACATATCCATGCTGAATCGAAAACATTTGAATCTGATTTCTAATCAAGCAATCTGATCACACACAATAACACTGAATATTCACAAACTGGTAAAATAAATCCACTTGACAACACACGGTGTTGCGCGTGATCTGCCTCGCTCGCGTCTCGACCACAGAACAATAATACTCTAGGAGGATCTATCTTATCGAACTCTTTTCATACTACCGTCACGTTAATGACAAATAATAATTTGAATAATTAAACATTACCCTACGGTATTCGCGATTCGCGATTCGCGTTCACCGATTACTCGAAGACGCCTGAACCGATTTGGCAATTTTTTTTGTTTCAAAGGGACTTCAAAAATATCTGATTAGGTATCTATTCTAAATGAGAACCCCCGCTTAGTTATTTTTTACATTTTAGTGCCTGGAAGTCGGTTTTTTTTTAAGTTTTTATATAATTTATCTACAAGCTTGACCCATATGTATCTTGTTCTTGTTTGTCTCGTGGCGAGTATGTACAACTGCACGTCAAATCCTGGGTTCCAAGCCCACATCGGGCCTAAAGATTTTAAAGTGATATTGTTAAGAATTATGTTTAAGAATTTATCAGTAGCAGAAATTATTGGTGACACCACTGTGCCCCGGCGAATAATTGAAGCTGCCGGTCCTGCGCCTGATGCTTTTTGGTAGCACCAATTATCGCTCAACTATATTATGAGTGAGACATAGAATAGATTGCATAAGTACTGGTAAATAATATGTCGAATGTCAGCAAAAAATTAAATTCTTTAAATTAAAATATTTACATTACCTAATTGATGTTACAATAATAATAAATTTTCTGGCAGAATGGATTGCGCCTGTTAACGCAACTATAAGCCATTATAAAAAAATTATATGAATTTTGCCCATTTATGTCCCACTGCTGGACACTTAATTGGGACGATGAGTGATGAACATTTCTCAAAATATACCTACATCATTACAGCGGGTTTCCTTAGAAGAATTTGCGTTATTTCGATCAGATAAAAATATCATATAGTGAGGGAATCAGGGGCGGATTGTAAATTTGATCCCCTGGGCGAACACTTCTTGGGGGCCTAAAAATGATAATTAATTTCATAAATAAGAATTAATTCAAATATTCGTTTAAAAAAATCTTTAATGATAGATGGTACTAGACGAAATTAAGGTAACGCTATTGTTTGGTTCTTGTTAAGTGTTCTCAGGGTTATTAGACCAATATTTTCACAATATTATCTATTATTTTTAACAGGCCCGTTATATCTAATACCCTGGGCTGCACACCAACAAGCCTATATATAGATCCGCCCCTGAAAGGAGTGAACAAGGGGGTGAGAGAGCGTCTATTTGTTCTTCACGTAGTAACAGCTCTACAAATTCAAGTGAAATTCATAACAGATATTTGTAATTATTATTACTATTACACTTGTAAAAAAAGCTAAAAAATCGCAAAAGTTCTTCACAAGAGAGATAAATTTAAAATAAAAAGGAACCAAACTTTTCATTTTGACATATCGTAAAGATTTAAAAGAAATAATTTTATTAACAAGACTAGGTTTAAGGTATTAAGATGGTTTATTTTAAAACAACACTTTAATTGGAGCTAAATATCTCAATACATGGATGAGATAATTTTTTTGTACATTTTTCAATTTGCTACAAAAAAATAAATAAATGAGTATACTTATATAAAAAAGTTTTCATCACAAATAATAAATAACACAAAAGAATGTTAAATTAAAAAGAAAGCGTAGGTGTAACTTTGAGTACGATCATTTGACGAAAACTTCTGCTAAGTCAGTCCATTGCACGCAATTATCGTTTTTATGTCAATGTCAATAAGGCCCATCCCCAGATCGGTCGAGGTCTGACGCGTTGTCATCATACCCCGACCCCGACCTGACTTCCGCTGGTTCTACGGAGATTCTAGGTTTGAATCCACGCTCATCGGCTTCGTATTCTACTACCTGGAACAATAATAATAATAATTAATATAGTAATTACACTATGAAAAGATTATTTGACCACTGGCTTCTTTCTTCACCTTCACAATATTTAAACTATATCGAAGTATACATTTAATATTAGAGAAACCAAGGTAATGTCTAAAAAAGTAATTCAAAGGATTTTAAATGTAGTGACATGTTTTCCAACAAAAATAATATATAGAAAATTATATGCAATGAAAATTCAGAAATTTTTACATATGTAGGTACTTGTGCATTATAATATTTCTTGTGAGAAATATTTGTCTTGAAATCGACAGACATTACTATTTATTTATAGTTTTGAAAGAAGAATTTGTAATTTCTTTAAAGACAATAAGAGTAGTTTGCTGGTAAGGAAGCTACCACCGGCTCGGACTGAGTACCAAAAAGTGCAGAGTAGTAAAATTTGACCGTTGCTAATAGGTAAAACCTAAAATGATTCCTATTGGAGGCATTTAAATATTTAATGTTTATAGAACTTACTTGCTTAGTTCCATCTGGCAACACTACGAAATAAGATCCTTCAGCTCTATTATCTTGCCTGGACTCAGTGTGACCGAAGTCACTCCCACTGTCGATATCATTAACTTTGTATCCGAAGTCGTAGTTAGCTGGTTCCTGGAAAAAGTTTTAACATATTAAGATTTTTCAAATATTATATCTTATCTATAATTATTATAATTGGTAAATATATCGCCTATCCCTATTAACAATGTCGGATATGAAAATCGGCAACTTTACAGGAGAGTGCGTCAAAGTTTGAATTGTTGATATTTTTTTAAATGTACAATTTAGGTTAACAAAAATTACTTGAGGCTATTTTAAAAACTACTCGTACAAATTATTTTTTTGTTGCAACTACTAAAAGAAGAGACTTTTTAAGAGTGATTAGTGAAATAAAAAGAAAATGACAAATTTGCATATCCGACAATGTTAATAGGGATATATATGATAATCATCTATAACTGGTAAAGTGCCGTGTTTTTTTGTACGTTTCATTTATTAAAATGTAAAAGTACTCACTTGGTTAAGAAGCTCGTCGAGAGCGTTCCGTGCGTAGTTGTACCCTTGGTTAGATTGTGAGTCGTACTGTTCAGGAACTCCGTACTGATCTGATGGCATCGCGTCTCTAGCTGATGGTACGCCATATTTAGGGGATGGGTCTGACCTGTATCCAGACAAAATATGATATTAATTCATTAATTATAGCTTAATTAACTGAACAGGAAATTATAACTCAAATTATCTTACTTTTTAAGAAATGATTTTTTTTATTTGTATACTTTATTTCACATGATATGATATTATAACTATAATACATACCTACTAACGTCGTAAGATGAAGCAAAAGCATTAGTTTTCGTTTTAGTTCTAGCTTCAGGAGGACCGTATTCAGCGGATAGGCTTCGTTCATTTGGTGCTCCATATGTTTGTGATACGGTTCTGGAGCTAGGAAGATAGGATTGGGAAATTGACTGTGTTTTAGGCGTATAGGAGTCAGAATTTCTTGTGGAAGGTACTTGATGGAGTGAAGGAACAGAACGAGATGTACTGAAGCTTTGAGATGCAGTGTTTCCTGCTCCAAAGGACTTTTGAAAGTTTCTAGTCACAACACTCGATGGCTTATTTTGCCTCGATTGTACAGTATTTGGACGTGATAAGGGACTGACGTTATATGTGCTGCGGAGTCCAGTAGCGTAATTTTGAGTCGATAACGCAGACTTTTGAAATTGCAAAAGAGTATTTTGGGCAGGTGCTGAGTATTCTTCAGAAGGATTCGATCTAAATTGAGGCTGTCCATACTGAGTAGAAGGAGACCTTTGCAGAGGTGCTCCATAGGAATCTGAAGGAAAGTCACCAATCGTTTTATATCCTTCAGAATCTGACCTTAATTCAGGAACGCCGTATTCTTGAGATAAACGTGCGCTGGGAGTATTAAAATCTGTTGGATAAGAAGGAACTCCGTATTCTGCAGAAGGAGCGTTTCTTTGATTGGGAGGTCCATATTGTTGGGAGAGTCGAGCACTGGGGACTCCGTACTCTTGGGATGGACTAGATCTTAGACCTGGAGCGCCATATTCTTGGGACAGACTTGATCGAAGTTCTGGGGGGCCGTACTCTTGAGATATAGAGGATCGCGACGCAGGAAGATAGGAGGATAGTTGAGATCTGGATACAGCTGATTCGTAGCCTTTTTGACTTTGGGCTCCAACTGGTGCAGGTGCTCCATATCTTTGCGGTAAAGATCGTGGGATATCAAGGCCGTGGTCATGATCATAGCTTGATCGAGCTGCTGGATATCCATCCCTAGAAAGTTTAACTTTATTTAGTACATTTTTTTATCTTGGTGGAATATTTTTCTGTCCTTTATGGGGATATGCTCAATAAACATTGTATGACCTCTTTGCATTAGTACATTTTGTATTTTAGTATTGTTAAGCGTAAACTTACCCTACAGGTGGCTCTGCCAATACATGCGCCAGTAAACCAATAAATATAAATATCTGTAAGAAATTTTATATCGATTAGTAATTACCAATATTATATTTATTATAGAAAAATATATGATTACTACATACCTTCATTTTCTTTGTTGTTGCTTGTTGTATCTGCAAGATGGGAAAATAATTCAATTAAATCGCGCAAACGTGTTTAACGCGCTTTTAAATATAACGAATTAATAACAAAAATTACATTTCTGATATGTTCTAAAGCTTTTTCAGAAATTAAAGTTAATATTATTATTTTTAAGTATTTTAAGTTACAAAATTACCTGTTTAAAACCTGTCTTCTATGAATCTTCTCCAATAGACTAGTGACCGTTGAATGGTATCATCCCAAAAACATTCGACTATTTATACTAAATTTAATTTGACAATGGCGAATTCTGGGCAACGAAAACTTCATGATATTAAACTGGAAAACAAACGATTTCCAACCGTGTTCCTTTGAAATAACGATGAAGGCTAGTTTTGGTGTTGTATATTACAAGTTTTGATAGTAAGTGTCGACACTGACTGAACCAGATGTACTATTGTTCAAATAAATCGATAGTTCGCATATAATGCTACATTAGCATTGCGTGCTCTCATAAGTGCTGCACGTTATCGCTTTGCGGTGATCTTGCCCTTAATAGATGTAAAATATGTATGTATGTATCAATTTATTAGTTTTATTCCATTCATATATAAAAACATAGGTACACAATAGCTAACAAATATCTCTTTAAAAAGTGGCGTCGACATGTGACGTTAAGTCAAACCAAAGAAAAAAATTCCAAAATTAAAAGCTCTGATTGTCTAAACACAAATTCGAACTTACGCACACCACATAAAGTACTTTTTTATACAAAACAACATGGATTTTAATGTTTTCATCCGAAAAGCAATAAACAAAAAAGATTTGAAAAAAGCGCGCAATTTCGAAATGTGCCCTTATTTCTGAGGACACTTTTAAGACGCGTATTGTGTATTTTGAGTGTTTGTACATCAATATTTTATTTTATACTTCTAAACAGTACCCTGACTGATTAAACTTATGTTTTTGTATTTGTTACTTTAAAAAGTTGAAGCACAAGGCGGGAAAATTACAGGACTTTTAAGTTTTTTCTTTTCAATTCGTGTTAACTTAAATTCGGTCTAATGAGGCATATGCGTGCTCTTCATAATGATGAAAAGAAAATATTCTTTAATTTTTAGTTAAAATGATATTTTTAAAAGTTTAAAGCGGGCCTGTTAGAGTTGTCTTGACAGTGTAATGTCTATAAGAGGTGAATTAAAATTTAAGATATAGATCTATTAATTATATCTATATGTATGTATGGAAAATAAAATTTGACAATGTTTATATTTGTATACAGAGCATATTGATGACTAGCGAGTCACCCTTACTCCGCTCGGGTTCGTCCCTAGTTACGTTTTAACGTTTAGTATAGATTTCTCTGAGACGAGATATTTTCCTGCAGTAAAAAGTATCTTACATAACCCGGATAACCAGCTATCATCATACCAAATTACATCAAAATCTATCTAGTGGTTTTCTAGTGATGTGGATTCTAGTAACAACCAGACAGACAGATAAAAATTCTAAAAACTATAGATTCGGCCTCTTTATCGATAATAATAACTATTTCAATAAGATCTTCCAAAAATATTTAATCCTACTTATTCGACTCAGAATTTTATTATATGCTTAGATGATATAAATGCAATTACAGAAAATCATTTAATAGATACCTGGTACATTCGTATATGAATCTTTCTACTGCAACGCTTTCCTAAAAGCACTAATTAAGGGCAAGGTTAATGCCACTCGTTCAAACTGTCACGAATTTAGCAGGTGTCTTGGACACTCATTGTTAATGCCTACAATACATGTTGTTCACATTCAAATGTGTATAATGTATCTATTAGTAAACTTAAAAAAACTTAAACTTAAAGTTAAATTATCAAAAAAAAGGATCTTCTAAAGTCCTTTTAGGACTAGACACACACTGGACTCAGTGTTGCGAATTGGCTTTTACTTTGTAATTTTAAGAACGTTTGAATATAGTCCTCGATTCGTTTGATAAATCTAAAGATGCGCCTGTGATCAATATGGCGCAACGTTGTATGTAATAAATGTTAATAAAAACAAAAAATATATTAATTTAATTTATTTACATATCTATATTAATGAAATGGCTACATTTTTAAACAGATAAAGACATCCCCGAAACCTTGTCAATCACTTTTAATGACGCATCGGTAAAAAGACCTATCTGTATGTACTCGACGACGGTCACTTCTGTCGGTAATTCATCACTCTTCAGAACGGATTCAATTGTGGGTCCATAAAAATGGTGTCCTTTATGTTTTTTTCTAAAATTAACAGCTACATTTCCTTGTAAAGATAAAGCGTATACAATTTCAATGTCCAAAGAATATCGATTTGCTGATAGAATTGCTGTTGCGGCTTGACCAGGCTGAAGTTCTGTTTCCATTCCACTAGTAGCACCCAACGTTACTGCTTCTGACTTCTCATCACTCTTGCCCCAACTAGAAGTGTACGAAAAACTGGTTGTGCCCGCAATTTTTGCAATAATTATATTTAAATCATATTCAATCTCCTGCGATATTGTAGTTTCTTTGTTCATTGACCACGTCGTTGCTATCCTGTTTTCAACAGTTTGACTGATGCCTGCGTTGACTTTTATTGTATTATTAAATGAATTTTCAAAGTCCTGTGATAATATTGCAATAGACTTTACCGCACTTTGTTTAACTGTAACAGATTTTATTTGCATCACTCTTGACACTTGTTCCCAGTGATATTTCTCGTATAAATCACCCCACGGTGTGGGGCTCTTAAGAAACACATCGCGAGGTGTCACTTGGTACTTGCTTCTCACTGCTCGTTTTAAATTAAGCTCATCGATTTTAAAAAGTTCTATTTCTTTATTTCCGATGAGAGCTTTATCAAATCCGGAATAGTTAATAACTATATCAGATATATCTCTTCCGGCTTTAACATCTATAGTAATTTTCGCGTGAGCTATGACAAAGGTAGAAACAAAAACTATTGATATGATCTTCATTTTTCTTAAAATTTAATAATCTTAAGCTTACTAAGTCGTATATTTAAACTGTATGTAGAAGTTTGATTGTTTCTTGTATAATTCAACCTTTGTCCTTTTTATCGTTCTGTATCGAAAATGAAATTAGGGATCAGTTAATATTAGTGAATAATTATTTTTGAGTAATTTTTAATTACAATTTCTATAGTTTTTTATATTTTTCTCATTCTTACTTCTTTACTAATAAGTAGTATAAATTCTTAAGTGCTTTACTATTTCATGCGGCATTCTCTTGCAAGGGAAAATATATGTAAAAGAAAATAATGTATACATACCTATAATAAAATTGTAACTAAGCCGAATCTGTACATTAAATATTTTTTGGAAAATCTTATAGAAATAAACATTATTATCCATACAGAGGCCGAATCTATAGTTTTTAGAATTTTTGTCTGTCTGTCTGTCTGTCTGTCTGTCTGTTACCGCATCACGGAAAAACCACTGGAGGGATTTTGATGAAATTTGGTATGGTGATAGCTGGTTATCCGGGTCAACATATAGGATATTTTTTACCGCGGGAAAATATATCATTACTGAGAGAAAATACAAAAACTGCATTGTAATAGTATACTTATATGTAAAACCTAAGAATTTGGTTTTTGGTCATCTAAACGCGGGCAGAGCCGCGGGCAATGCTAGTGTATACATAAAAAGTGTAAACCAAAGTGCGTAATAAACAAACGTAATAAAATGCTGGTCTGATCGTTTATGGATCACTCGATACAGGCTGGGTGAATTATAAAAGAGCATTCGCGCTCTAATACCTATTTTGGGTAATGTATAAATTATAATATAATATAAATAATATAAATAGTGTATTGGTTTTATACAAACATTAAGCTGGACAAAATATAGTGAGACCGATAAAAATTACTAACCAGTTACGTACCCATCAAATCCAAATATACTTCATTGAAATAGAAAATATATACATATATACAAGCATTTTCCAAAGATTCCTCTCATTTTTAATTTATTACGTTAAAGAGGTCATCAGTTGCACTTTTAAAAATTAAATTTTATTTACTGTATTAAACTATCCTACGTGATTATATAAGATTGAATAAAAGGTAGTTCATTCTCTCTCTGAAGAAATATTTAATATACAACTTTTATCTATTTATTGAATTAAAACTTCTTTGCACACATGAGAGTAAAATTTCAATGTCGCAGTTACTACTTAAATCGTCACGAAAAACCGTCATGGTTGCCATGGTATCCGCTTGCATTAGATTGCCATAGTAACCTTTGTTATTGTCTGAAAAAAATATATATGATACTAGCAGAACCCGCGGCTTTGCTAGCGCTAAAACTACAAAAAACTAAAAAGGTAGTTTTCATACAAACTTTCATTCCCCCTTTATGGGTAGAATTTCGAAAAATGTTAAAACATGTATTTATTTAAGTGTATTGAAGAGCATTCATACCAAATTTCATAAATATAAATCATAAACAATTTTCATCATAAATAATTTTTTGGGTTGTGTTACAACGTGTTTTCCCGCGGGAGCGAGATAATCTCCCGCGTTGAACATTAGCCTATGTAACTCTCCAGCGCTCAAATATCTTCACACAAAAAATCACGCCAATCAGTCACTCCATTTCCACGTGAAAGAAGGACAAACAAACAAACAAACAAACAAACAAACAAACAAACAAACAAACAAACAAACAGACAAACACACTTCCACATTTATAATCCATAGGTACTATACCTATGGATTCTTCCGTTGCGATCTTCGAAGAATACTATTTTTATTTTTTACCAATTTGTTTTCAAATATGTCTACATATTTATAACAAGCAGCTCACCCTCGCTTTGCTCGGGTTCCACCCTTAGAGTATAAGCGATTGATGTAAGAAATAAGAATCCAGCTAGATAGAAAGAGATAAAATATTATTCTCTTCTCTTTGTGATATTCGTTTGAATCATATTTTTGTCTGAGTGTAATATAAAAAGTTTTCATTAATTTATTTATCTTACAGATTTGAAATATGTATAAATAACCAATGAAGTTTCACTTTTCACACGTTTCCATATATATATATATATATATATATTTTTAATTACCGACACGTAATAGAAGTAGATAAATGAAATGTAGAGTATAGAGATTACATTCTTTATTGTAAGTTTATGTAAACTTGACCTTTCTGTGATATGATATTAGGTCAAGGAATAAGTGCTCATTCGAGCGTAGATATTTGTTTATTAAGTAAATAAATTCTTTATTTTTACCAAAAAACCAAATAAAATAAATCGCGTTAGCAATATTACATTACCTCTGTCTTAAAGTAATAAAAAAATATTCCTTTACCTTTTTGGAGTAGATAGTAAGTATTGATATTGTAAACGTTTCTTATACAAAACTGTGTTGTAAAAAATATATTTATGTAGCTATAACTTTAGTAATACAAAAGTTCCATAAAATAAAATAAAAAACAAATTACAAACGTAAATACAAAATTATTTTATACAGTATATGTTATTGCGATGTACAATTATGTATTTTACATAATTATCAATAATAAACCATTTCAGTTATCACTCAAATCTCTAGTTTGTCGTGCTAATATGAAAAGATTTACTATCCTATATGTGGAATATTTAATATTCTTTGTTTTAAAATGTAGCGGTAAAATAAACATAGATATTAAATTAGCGTCACACAAAACTGTAGCTGCAGTGCATTTTAGTGGTGCTGATAACAAATTAATAACTGCTAAAGAAATAAATCTGTATAATGTAACAGACGATAACTTGAAACGTGGAGCTAGAGTTGAGCTCGGAAGAACACCGGACGATGTTTTTTTAAAGAATCCTACACCGTATGGTGATTTATATCAAAAATATAAATGGAGAGAAGTGTATAGAAATGTGCATGTACTGAGTGCAGAAATAGATGATATTATAAATGAAAATGAAGTTATAACTGTCGTCGATTATATTAACAACACAACGAATAATGTGAGGAAGGATATGAGAATGTACAGAACTGTTGAGCATACCATGAAATCACTTTGGTCTAGTGATGGGCTACCAATGGATAATATACCTTATAAAGTCAAAGTAGCATATTATTTGCAACACTTCAGTTATGAAAATAAATGGAGGGAAATTAATTTTAAAACAACTAAAATAAATTTTGGAGTAAATAGCTATGGTTTCATAGAAGTTGAACCGGGAAAATCGGTGACAGTGAAACTATTGGGAAAAAGAACAACCGTATTAGTTAAAATAAAATACATTGCAAGCCTCACCGGTCAAATCATAGCAAATTACGCAAGAGAGTATGGAAAATATCATTTTTGGGCTCCTTCAGCAGCCAATATAATGAAAGCTGGCAATCTAAATAATGAAATTATAACGACAGAGTTTATAGAAATTAAATGTTATACAGATCCTTCGATAAAAGTAAAAGATACACTTACGGGAAAGCGAATTCCCATAAAATTTACATATAAACCATTTCGTGGCCGAAAACATAAATAAATCTTACAAATATAAGTTTAATTTCTTGTTAATGATGATATAATAATCGACAAGTAAAAGTAATTATTATAATTATTTATTTAGCATTATAAAAATATATTTATAAAAATTTAGTATCTATTTCATTATTTTTAGCTAATGAGAACCTCCTCCTTTTTCAAGTCGGTTGAAAATTAGTTATCAAGTTAGTTAGAACAGTTGCATTTAAAAGAAGCGAATTATTGTGTATAAAAATAGTATATTTTTTTGTAGTTATTATATCTAACATTCTTTTATAAGAATAAAGCGATACCTATAAGAAATTAATAGTTTTTATTTTTAAAGTAATCTTAAATTTGTTATGTTAATGGTAGCACTTTAAAAATGCTGTCATAAGTGTCAATTTGACGTTGACGCTTCGTAGTTCGTACACATTTTATTATTTCAAATTTTAATACTAATCTGTGATTCACATTTCACGGTCGTTCTGCCGATAGTTTGAAATAACAGTATTTTTGCCATTCCCAATTCGAAAATTACGTGTTTCGCATAAATATTAACTAAAACAGATTAATATATCGTTCAAAATGTTAGTGTAAAACTCATTTTACCACGTACATTACATCACATTTAAATATTATTTTGTATTTTAAATAGTAATCGATACAGGTACATAATTGTAGTAATAAATTATTATATCATTAAATAAGTAGCTCTAACAGTATTATTGTGAATTTATTCATAAAAATGAAACGAGGAGTGTTTGTATTTGTGCCTTTGTACTCTGTCTCGTAAGTACATTTTATAAATTATTATTTTACATAATATACACATTATATTCTTTTACTAACAGAAATAATATTCATCATATACTTAAAGGTCCCTAACGGCTTAAGTAAAATATCCTATATTCCTACAATATATATATGTGGATACAATATAACGTAAATGAATCATAGCGCGAGTAATATGTAATTACGATTTCACCATAGTTACACTCTAGAAACTACAAGAATACATGAATAGAATTTAAAACAGCAGCCTTTTAATCTTTCTGAACACTTCAATGCATTAATGAATAACTTTCCAATATAAAATTTTCATATTCTTTACATATAGATTTAAAAAAGAGAGGTTAATTTAATTAATTTAAGTAAAAATTTTACTATAGTAAGTTGCCATGCCATTTTCCTGCATACACAAATAGGAGAAGAACTATGACACAATTTGTTTGGTTTTGCAATTACAAATATTTTTATATATATAAATGCATTTGGTTCATAAATTATAAATATTTACAAATTTATGAATACTATTTACTTACCTTTTTAGGAAATTGTATGTGTATAAATCTGATATTGTTTTAGAAAAATTTAAATAGATTATATTGGAGCTTTTAGTTACATGGGCTTTGATCTTAGATATTAATCAGTATATGGTAATTGTAAGCTATATAATAAACACATCACGGTATTTATTTAAAATAAATGCAAACACTGCTATACACTTTATTTAGTTTCATTTAGTTTTATGAATTACTAGTGACTTACTTAGCGACTTGCTTTGCTCGGGTGTGTCCCCTAGTATGTTTTAATTTATTTGAGCGGAACCATATTTTTTTTTAAATAAAAGTAGCCTAAGTTACTCCTTATAGCATCAGCTATCTACCTGTAAAAGTCCCTTCAAAATCAGTCCAGTTGTTTTGAAGATTAGCTGGAACAAACAGACAAAATTTTTAAAAATGATGCTTTATACTTATAAGAAAAACATTTTTTTTTTGTATATTATTTACTGAAAAGCTGTTATTTTGACATTACACAGACGCTTAAATTTTATTTATCTGTATAGATAAATTCAAGGTTATTGTTTTAATTTTAATAGAAAAAAAAACAAGAATAAACTGTCTTAGATTTATGCGAATACTTGACATTTTAAATAAAACTATCTTTTCGGATTTTTTCGCGAATTTATTTTGATTTTTGGTTCCCGACGTTTCGAATGCTTTACAGCAATCATGGTCACGGGAGAGACTAAGGTGTTAGATGTCACTAGGGTATTATATAGTTGTTACAGACAGCCTACCCACAATTAACAAAATGATATTTTGTTAATTGTGGATGTTATTTAAAATGCCAAGAATAAACTGTTTAAATGTAATTATTTGATTAGCCTAAATATTTGATAAGCCTAAAAATAAAATAAAAAAATAATGGTCATTTATTTCAGATTTTTTGCTACAATTATCAAAATTATATTCTGTTATTGTAGAAAATGCAACCTCGAGCTCAGCTCAGCCATGTATAAAGTTTAAATCTATGTTTTTAAATAAAATGGTATTCTTAAAAATAAATAAAAATTAAATATTTGTACCTATCTTATCTTTTCGGATTTTTTTTGCGAATATAAGTAATTTGATTTTTGGTTTTTCTGAAAAGATTCTTTTATTTCAAATGTAAAATATTCACGTAAATCTAAAAAAAAAATATTTGCTTGCACCAGCCAATTTCTAATATGACACAATTAATTATTAACTTTTTATGGTCTAATAAGATACCTTCTAATGTGGTAGACCTCTCGGTCTTTGTCCAGGCGAAATATTTTTTTTTATCCATAAAACATATTTAAAACAAACACTACCCAGCAGGGCTGTCACCAAAAATTTGCTCCAGGCTGTTTTTTTTTTATTAAAAAACCGCAAATCTGGAGATGTTTTGTTGGCAACCCTATATCATTAAATTTGTTATAAAATTATCTGCATTTTGATACTTGGTTCGTTTGGAAAAACTATAAGACCAATTTACTACATCAATTTACCTGATGTCAGGTAATGTGTTTGAACAAATATAATGGCATTTTCTACAAGTTTTTTACTTTCGATTGATACTAATTTGTCACAGTAAAAGAGTTCTTGTTTAAAAAAAAAACAGTCAAATATTTTTCTTAATAAAAATAGCCTGGAGCAAATTGGTGATAACCCCTTTTTTTTTTTTTTATAGTTGGGAAATCCTATTACGGATACCACCCGACTTCCCCCGGGGTGGTTATGTGGAGACTCTCCGGCTAATGAGACCGGCATACCCACTAAAACCCAACTTTCCCCCTCTGCCGCCATGTGGGGCGCCACGGGATCGCTCTCGCATACAACCGCGACGCCCCGACGGTTGGCCGAAGCCACCAACCATGAGGCCGCCCCAAGCGGGACAACCCCATTATGGGAAGACTTACAACCCAAAAAGTGAGGCCGCTCCTAAGTCCACTCTGCTGATCAGAGAAGTACCCGGAGCAGCCCCACACCACACAAACACCGCCCACCGAAGTGGGCCACCTCCAATCGGCTGCAGAGGACAGGGAGAGCGGCAACGAAACACCGACACTCCTCTTCCCCTGCAGCCCCACCGCGTCCGCCATCAAACGGTGGCGGCCCCGTCTAGGCCGCGGAAGGTAGGGAGAACGGCGCACCGAAATACCGGCACTCCTCTCCCGCCGCGGCCTACCCCTCCGCCGAATGCGGGCCTGCGACCACAGTCCCGCAATCGGCACCCATCATCCGGTTGTGGGACCAAGCGGTCCCACCACCGGTGGCCGCAACGTCTTCGGCTCGAGGCCTAGACGAGCGGCCCCATCCAAGCCATTTGGTCCGCGCCGGATTTCTCCGGTACCACCCGCCCCTCTAAGCGGGTGGCATGCCCCTATCCGCCACCTGGGGACGCGCCCGGTAGGAGTTGGCTTCTCCCCCGGGAAATTGGTGATAACCCCTGGATCACAGGACACCTGGGTCGTGTTTGTTAATAGGTATATTGTATGAATGAAAAATTATTTCGTTTGGAAAAAGAGTGACGGGTCCACCACAGAAATCGGGTTCTCTACTCGTACTCTCTTCTCTACTGTACTATTATTAACTCGTTTAAATTATGATAACTTTATTAACTTCTTTGAGTTACCTACATCGTCCACACAGAGACATATATCGTAATTATAGCGCTTTTTATATTGCATATAATCGGTTCTCTAGTAATAAGTATTTGAAAACGGAGGTGATCGCACACGTGTTGAGCCGAGTACTTCAGTAACAAAAAATAGTGTAAAGGTGGTTTTTAAATGCAAAATTCGTACTCTTCTTAATATTATGTTAAAGTAAGTTTATACATTGTTATACATTTTAACTTAGGTAAAACAAGCGACTCACCCTCGTTTCGTTCGGGTTCCTCCCTAGGTATATTTTAATTTTTTTGAGCGGAACTAATGCTTTTTCTATAATAAAAGTAGCATATAATACTCCTTATAACATCAGCTATCTTCCAGTGAAAGTGCCGTCAAAATCAGTCCAGCCGTTTCAGAGATTATCCGGAACAAACACACAGACAAAAATAAAAAAAAGTGTGTTTCTTATATGTACTATATATAATTCCATATGCATTTAGTAAAACGATGTTATTTTGAAATTACAAACAGACACTTCAATTTTATTTATCTGTATAGATATACCTACACGTTTTTTTGTAGTGGAATATAAAATATCCAGAGTCCGGTGGACTGCACAAAAAAAAGTCTTCATTAACTGGCCCTACCACAGCCGGACGCTGCATTTCAGTGTTCATTTTTTTTATTGTATTTTATTGTTAATCAGTATGCTGTGAAGTAAAATTTATTAGGAATAGCTTTCTTCTGTCATGTTATTTCTGTTATGTCTTGTACGTGTAAATAAGCGGTGTAAAAATTATATACAATTTTTTTTATATGAGAACATGGTGGCGGGACTAGTAATATTACTTAATCTATTAATCAGATGGATAACTGGTTATAGAGTCCACTCTTCGGCTACTTAATAAATAATCAAAAGTATATCGAATTAACATTTGTAAGCTTAGGGTGAGAACCTATTTATTTATTTATTTATTTAGATAAAGAAATAAAATCGGTCAAGAGCGAGTCGAATTTGCACACGAATGGTTCTGTACCATCATTTTTCTCGCATCCAGATCCGTTAAGCCGTTCTGGCGTTATTGAGTAACAAACATTCAAATATCTAAACTTTCACTTTTATAATATTAGTATAAATATGCTTTAGTTAGTATTTTAATATTAAACTATAAAAGAGCCAAAAGTATAAATACGGAATTAAATAAATAGAAATAAAAATCTTTCGAACAGACTAAAAAGTTACATATTATAGATTGTATGATAGTTGAAAACTGTTTTGTAGCCAATAACCTCCAAAAAAATTTTATATTAATTTAAAACTAGTTTCATTAGGGTCTCGAATGCAGGTCCTCTCGAACTGCGGCCGTACATGCTAGCCATAAGAACACTGTGTATATATGTGTATCTATGTGTGTATGTGTAGGTTGTATATATGTATGGGTATTTTTGTAATTGTGTGAGTGTAAGTTTTGGCTGCTACTTAATTAATAAAACATTAATTATACGTAATTCTAGCGTTACAAGTTTGAGTTTTTTGTTGAATGTTTAATTTTTTTTTACTAACGTAATAACATATATTTTGTATTTCAATAATTTATTCGACTCTGCTTCGATAGCAATAAAATACTCGACATCCGCTCATAAAATCATACTTGTTTAAACCAGTTTTGGTCACAAATCACATCTTGGTGTCTGTCTGTAGTACTGAGGCTAACCAACTGCGCAGTAGATATGATAGTGCATAAGTGTATGTGTATATATTTTTTTTAAATTTAATAGTTTTTTTTTCAGGCAATATTTACAAAAAGATCTTAAATATTATGTTAACAGAGGCCCATAACATTTATAACTTACAAACTTGATACTAACATATATATTAATTTTAAAACTTAAAGGAGATTTTATAGAGCACTAGCATTGCCCGCGGCTCCGCCCGCGTTCAGATGACCAAAAACCAAATTCTTAGGTTTTACATATTAGTATACTCTTACAATGCAGTTTTTGTATTTTTTTTTCTCAGAAATGAGATATTTTCCCGCGGTAAAAAGTATCCTAATATGTTGACCTGGATAACCAGTATCATTAGGTATACCCAATTTCATCAAGATCTGTCCAGTGGTTTTCTGGTGATGCTGTAACAGACAGACAGAGAAAAATTCTAAAAACTATAGATTCGGCCTCTGTATCGATAATAATGTTTATTTCAATAAGATTTTCCAAAAAATATTTAATGTACAGATTCGTCTTAGTTACAATTTTATTATATGTATAAATAAATGCAAAATGTAGAGTGCACTTGTATCTAGTCTCTTTCTCTTTCTTGAGCAAACTAGAGAGACATTAGGCCTAAAACAAACGGCTATATTATTATAGAATCTGAAAAATAAGGATGGTGAAGCGGGTTCAAATCCCGGGTGGCATCTCTGATATTTGTTTACGCTGATCGAAAACATCGTGATCGTAACCTGCGTGTCTGAGGGAAGCGAGCAAGTTTTGGAAAAATATGTGAAATCCGCCAACTCGCACGTGGCCAGCGTGGTGGACTATAGCCTGAACCCCCTCGTATTGAAGGGAGACCCATATCCAGCAGTGTGTTAAATGTTTACATATAAATGTTAGACAATTTCTCTCATTTCTAGAATAATAAAACAACAAACTAATGGATGAAGGCTATCGACGACTAAAGCCAAGTTAAAGGCCATATAAGCCTGTAAAACTAACAATGTTGATTGATTATAATAAGATTAAAGTAGTATAAGTTTCTTATTTTTACAGGGTGTTCGTACTTGGTGCCTCTATAACAGCTGGTGTATTCGTATTTCAAGTAGCAGTAGCGCCCCTCATATTCAAATACTCGAAGACTTTTCGAAGACACTTAGTCTTTTTTAACGCGGGTAAGTTGAAAAAGGCGAAACCAAACTTTATAGAAATATGAAATATGTGCTCTCTATACTGTAGTTTTTGTACAATCACAATATTTTATGACGACACGTTTGGCTCAGTTTGTAGTTACCCTACTTGCTGTGCCAGCGGTCGCGGGTTCGAATCCCGCTGGGGGCATTCATTTGTGTGATGAGCACGAATGTTTGTACTCCAGTCATGGGTGTTTATATTTATAATATGTATGTATTTAAAATTATATAATATATGCAGTGTATCAACTATCTGGTATCCATAACACGAGCCTTGTAGCTTACACATACAGATAGTAGGTCAGATATACAGACAGCGCCATCTTTTACCAAATTTTATTACTTACGTAGCCTATATGTTGCTCTAGAGTCTAGATCGTAACTTATCTATGTACTAATTGCATCCAAATCCGTTTCACAGTAAAGGAATACCCAACATACAAACATTTAAATTTTCGTATTTATAATGGTAGTAGGATATTTCATTGTACAACAAATATGGTTTTTTGCGGTCTGTACCGTCTTAGTTGAGTAAGTGGTCGCTGACAGTGTGCGAGCGAGAAATAAATAAGGACTCATCAATATAATCCCATTTTTTATCACAAGCTGCCAATTTTGTTCATGGTTGCTACTTAAAAAATAACAAATTGGTAATATAATTGTATGAATTACGTTTATATTATTTATTTATGTTAATATGCTTAAAAATGTCGGAAACTGAATGCGATAGATACGTTCTTTGTATACGAATAGGTATTATACATATTAGTTTTTTAAATGTCTGTTATCGTTTTGGTTTGGATCACATCAAAATTAAATGTCTGCTTGTAATACTTGCAAAAATTCTGAAAAAATATAAATTCGGCCTCTATCGATAATGTCAATTTCAATAAGATTTTCCAAAAAATATTCTATGTACAGATTCGGCTACGTTAGAATTTTATTATATACTCTAGAAAAGCACAAACAGATCAATCCCACGGGAACCGTTCAGTTTTCCAGGATAAAAAGTTGTTTGATCTGCAACATAGAGTATCAGCATGCCAAATTTTACTACATTAGGTGCATAAGTTGTTGTGTAATAAGCTGTATAAGTTACTATAGTTTTTTAACTATCCCCCAGGAATTCTTTAATTTTTCGGGTTAAAAAAAATACCGTACAAAAATGGTTAAGATTTAACAAATGTTCGACGTGATTCTTTAAATTGGTATAACTTTTTTATTTATGAACCGATCAACATGAAACAAACGCTAAAGTTTAAGTGAAATTTACCACAATATATTAGTGAAAACCACATCTAAATCGGATAAGCCGGTTTTGAGATTAGCGTGCAAAAACGCACAGACAAAAATTCTAACAATCATTGTTTTGGGTGCTATTTGTGTTGATAAAGGTCCCAATAATATTTTTCCTCATATATCTTCTATGTACAGACAGCGATCCGTTACATTTTTAGTATAGGTGTATAGATATAAAACACCTAAACAAATAAAAAATCACATCACATTTACGTAATTTTTTATTCTGTGTAAACATCACTGAATATGAACGATTCGCAACATATGAAAACGATGTCAATTATTAAAAAGTGGTGCCTACTCTACTGGGTCTACTAAACTGATTTTGATGAAACTTTACAGTAATATAGCTTGTGCATAATAGTAACATATAGGCTATAACTTCTAAACACATACATAAGTGAACTACGTGTGCATGATCGTGGGAAAATACTAGTTACAGAAAACAAATGACCTGAGAGAATTAGGCAAAGGTTTCGACTTCCCAATTTAATGTCCTTGATTCCATATTTACATACTTAGTATTGCTAATAAACAGCTAATATAAAATTCTAGTTAATAAAAACATGTTAAAAACAATTCATTTCATAATTCCCAGTACTTGGAAATGTAAACAATTTAGACGCATCTATACTTAGTTACTATATTCAATAACCTCGTCCGGGAATTGAACTCGCTGCCATTAACTAATCTGACTACTATTCGTATATCGTATGTGTTTGTGTGATTGTTTGTTACTCCTTCACGCTGAAACGGCTGGACGGATTTGGATGAAATTTTAGTTTTACACAAATAGTTTATGATCTAGACTAACTCATGTCCTACTGTTAGGCACCCAGAGAAGCACCAGAGCGAAGCAAAGGTAAGTTTTTAGTGTGCATATATAAATACATATTAGCGACTTACACTTCACTTGGGTGCGTCTCTTGACTATTCTAGCACGTTAAAAAACAAAAGTCCAAAGAATTCTTTTTTGCGCCAGAAACCTTCATAGACGTGTACAGGATAACCCACCAGAGTTTCATCACAATCTGATCAATGGTTTAGGAACGCATAGAGGACAAACATACGAACATTCATTTTTATTTATATAAAGCATAGACTAAATTTTTTTTTCCAGTACAATGGCCTGTAAGCATAAATTACGAAAATCCTTCGGAAAGTGGTGTCGAAGGAGCGAGGAATTTGAGCATCGAGTACAAATCCAAAGTAGACAACTGTGATATTACAATCGGTGAGTGGTTATTTCTTTACATTATTATTATTTTAGGGTTCTGTAAATATGAAAAAATGTCTATAAACCTTATCAGATCATTTTGTTTGTCGTAGCCTATCTTCTTCGAAATTTTAGGGTTGTTAATTTATATATCGAATTTATAGTCTGTAACTAGCGACCCACCCTCGTTCCGCTCAGGTTCGTCCCTGCTTGGGGTTTAACGTTTAGTAACGTTTAGTATAGATTTCTCAGAGATGAGATATTTTCCCGCAATAATAATATCCTATATGTTGACCCGGATAACTAGCTATCATCATACCAAATTTCCTGAAAATCCGTCCAGTGGTTTTCCGTCATGCGGTAACAGACAGACAAAATTTCTAAAAACTTTAGATTCGGCCTCTGTATCGATAATAATATTTATTTCAATATGATTTTCCAAAAAATATTTAATGTACAGATTCGGCTTAGTTACAATTTTGTTATATACATATATATAGATTATAAAATGTATTTTATGAATATCAGTTGGCACTTTTCAATATTATTTTTATTTTAAAAAAGTAGGTCAACCCTATTTTATGTTATGAACTTTATTAGAATACTAGCGGTTCACCTTAGCTCCGCTCGGATTTGTCGCTGGGTACGTTTTAAATAGACATAAATAGTTATTAGCCAGCGTTAGCCATATATATTTTAATTTTTTTTGTTGATAATATTGACAAATATTGTCATTAATATTTATACGATACTAACGTCACTCAATTGTTTTGCCTTCCCGGAACCTCTCCACTAACACTTAAACTTTATGATATGGTATTAAAGTTCAAATTGACTTTTCAGTATTATTACGAATCTTTTGTATGGGATGGGAGTATAGGAAAGTGTTGTTTTTAGACTTTTTCAGGAATTTTTTTAAATTTTTCTCTCCGTAAGAACTTAAGGAATATTCTAAAAAAAAGTATTAGCGAAATCGGTTCAGCTGCTCTCGAGATTTGCGCTTACCAACACATTCAGCGATTTATTTTTGTATTATAGAAGGTTTAGTTTAGTTTTACTTCATATTTGGTGGAAAGCAGTATAATATATACATTTATTACGAGAATGTTGACGTTTTATTGGCTATCCCGTCAGAAACTATTGAAAGTTTAATTATTATCTAACAACGAACTTTAAAAAATAATAAAATAACCAAATCTATACTAATAATATTAAAAGCTGAAGAGTTTGTTCTTTTGTTTGAATGCTAATCTCTTTAATTAATAATTACTAACATTGCTCGCGGCTCCGCCCGCGTTCAGATGACCGAAAACCAAATTCTTAGGTTTTACATATCAGTATACTCTTACATTGCAGCTTTTGTAGTTTTTCTCAGAAATGAGATACTTTCCCGTGGTAAAAAGTATCCTATATGTTGACCCGGATAACCAGCTATCACCATACCAAATTTCATCAAAATCCCTTCAGTGGTTTTTCTGTGATGCGGTAACAGACAGACAGACAGACAGACAAAAACCCTAAAAATTATAGAATCGGCTTCTGTATCGATAATAATAACTATTTCAATAAGATTTTTCAAAAAATATTTAATGTACAGATTCGACTCAGTTACAATTTTATTATATGTATAGATTATCATTACGTTTACATTTTTCTTTTAAAGAAAATATAACGTAACACCTAAAAAATAAAAGCGATTTCGAGTCGACCTTGAGAAATTTATCATAATTTTTCTCGTCAGCGTTGCCTCATAGTCTAATGTTTTCAACAGTAATATAATAAAACCGTACTTGTTTAATTATAATTTGCACATAATATGTGTGTATAATACAGGAAAAGTATGTCATTATAAATGTTAATTTATTATTTAGATCGTATATAATAACACCTCCAGGTAAATATCTAAGAAATTAATTAAAATTCTAATGGCCGATTTCACCAACGTCACCTAAGTTTAAGGGATGCCCTAAGCATGGTTAGGTGGCTGTTAGGGGACAGTTTCTGTTTCACCGACAGTTAGGGGTCACCTAAATGTTAAAATGCCACCTAAATATAGCTACTAGAAATACGGGCACTGACGATGGTAAAACGAAATATAATTTAGGGGCTAGTTTAGGGGAACCTTAAAGCTAGGGATACCATACGTAGGTATAGGCTTATGGGATGTTGGTGAAATCGGGCATAAGAAATCTATTGTCAACTGACACGCCGGCGTGGAGGGAATAAAGGAATTTACGCACTCATTAGCCTTTTACGGATTTATGCTGGACTAGCGACTTAAAGCGGCTACTCACACCCCTGCCGTAGGAGCAATCTAGGTTGTAAAGTGGGGATGACCCTTAATTGCCACCTAAATTGTGATTTGTATAGTTAAGCAGGGGCAATTATATACCCCCCCAACGTGCGTTCACCTTGTCGTGGTGGGGGGGGCTCAGTAGTGTACTCGCGAAGCCAAGAAACGCACAGGGAGGTGGCCCGCTTCGGTGGGCGGTGGGAGGCGGCCTTCTTCGGAGGGTGGTGTACCATGCGGGTTGCTCCTGGTACTTCTCTGATAGCAGAGTGGACCGTGGAGCAACCCCATGGTTGTTGTGGTCTGCTTCGGCAGACCTGCCGTCGGGGCGTCGTAGTTGAATGCGTAAGCGATCCTGCGACGCCCCATTAAGACGGGGGAAGGTTTTGTTGGGTTTTAGTGGGTAGTACTGGCTTCGCCGGTGAGTCCCACACTTCGTGCGTAAATGCATTTCCCAACGTTAAAAAAAAAAAAAAAAAAAAAAGGGGCAATTATATAGATATAATTTTCGCGAGACCATCTTTGGTCCCTAGATTGCTCCTGCCGCCCGGCCGCGTTGCCGCGTGTGTAGCGTGAACAGGACTATTTCTCTACCGATCTTTTGACAGCGTAGCCTCTTAGGGGTTTTCCCCTCAAGGAAAAAAATTACCCCTCTTTGGGGGTAAAAATTTGCACCGGGATTTTTTTCTTTAATAGCATGACTTAAATATAAATAACGTTTTATAAAGTTTCTTTTAAAGACTTGAAAAAATCATATATCTTTCAATATCATTTGCATAATTTATCTTTTTTTTATTATTTTCTAAGTTATGTATGAATTTTTATTATATTTATTAAAGTGTTAATTATAATTATTATCATAATAACCATAATTAAGTTTTTTTCGCTACTTGTAATCATTTAAAATAAAAAATATTAAAAATGAAAAAAAATGAGTATTAAATAAAAACCTACATTTTTCAAATTATCAATTAGAGGGTTTTAGGAATTTTTAGAATTACTCTTAGGGGGATAAAATTTCAAGTGTTGGCAACACTGTCTTTTGATTTTTCGATAATACTGGGACCATTCTTAACGCGTGCTTTTAACTCAACTTCTACCCGAACACAATAACAGCCATGTGTGTAGAGACAGCTTCGATATTATCCCAATCGCCGTGCTCCCTAAGATTGCCCCTGCGGCAGGTGTGTCGGTAGCCCGCTTTACTCGCTTCGCTTCGTGTGATTTTTCATGAGTTTAATTTTTTAGCGCGGAAGCCTTATCTTTTTTCTTAAATAAAAATTGCCTAAGTTACTTCTAATAACATAAGCTATCTGCCAGTGAAAGTCCTGTCAAAATCGGTCCAGCCGTTTTGGAGATTAGCCGGATCAAACAGACAGAGAGACATTTTTTTTAAATCGGCCAATGAAAGTTCCGTCAAAATCGGTCCAGCCGTTTCGGTTCAGAGATTAGCCGCAACAGACAGACAAAAAAATTTAAAATTATTTTTTTATTATAAGTACCGTAAATACTTTCATATGTATTTAGTAAAAAGCATTTTTTTTTATATTAAAAACAGACACTTAAATTTTATTTATCTGTATAGATTTATGCGTAGATAAATAAGGATTTTACATCACAAAAATAAATCAGTGAAATTAAAATAATATAAACATAAAATATTTTATTCTATAGCAACTTGCGAACGAATGATTTTGCTTTTGGGATTTGACCTTAACCAACTTTGAAAGGGACGTGTTTTCCAACTACACTTAATCAAGATGTATTATAATAGCTCCGCTTTTCATTATAATAGGTCAAAAATCAATAAACCTCGTACAAACAGTTTGTTCATTATAATATACTATACATTATAGCTTCTTTATCCACGCCTCGGTGGTTTTTTGTTTAAATTACTAATACTTGTATTTTATACTCGAGAGGTTTTTGTTTGTGTTTTAAAAGATTTATTTGTAAGATTTATAATCATATATAGATAAAATACATCTTTCCGGCCGTTTTAAAGTTAAATATGTATTTTATCTATACTAATATTATAATGAGGTAGAGTTTGTTTATTTGTTTGTTTGAACGCGCTAATCTCAGGAACTACTAATCCAATTTGAAAAATTCTTTTTGCATTAGATAGCCCGTTTATTGAGTATCAGTACCTACTAGTACAGATGCCCCATTTCATAAAATAAATTGGCAGCTATAACAGACTATATACATGTATATATTTACATTATAATACAATCGTAACAATATAAATAACCTTGGAAATGATTAAATTAATTTTCGCCGCGCAAATCTTACACATTAATTTTATGTAACTAACAATATGTACAAGAACAAGAACAATGGGTGGTGGGGGGATATACGGTCGATAGATACACGAAAAAATATTTGAAATAAAATAAGCGATTTGCATATTATTTCATATTAAGAAGTCTGCTCACTACACCGTCTTATACCATGACCGTGCTAGGACCGTGTCAGGCAGAAATTAAAAAACCTTTAGAGTTATTTTTTTGACAAAAGATGCCGTTTTCTAAATTGACAAATTAATAGAAAAGAAAAGGATGATTTCGAACTATTTTATTTCATTTATACCTTGAGAATTTCGTTAAGAAAATATGAGTACATTTTTGGGAGCTATTTTTTGGAACGAGGTTCCTTATCACACTAACATCACGTTATATTTACCATAGGTGATAGGTGAAAATATCGCGTATCCATATACTTGCACATAAAACAATCAACCTCTTCGAAGTCAGTCAAGAGTGTATGTTTTTTTTTTACAGGTATTTGGCACATTTTACCAATGTCGACGTATGAAAAGTTAAAAGGCAGCTTTGAAAGTGCAGATAAAGAGCAACTACATAAATTGATGGATGAAGAATTGATCAATTCGAAAACTCCCATTATGATGTATTTTCATGGTAAGTTTTAGAATTAGAATATCAGAAGTTAAAACGAGGTTTTTTTGTAAAATTAATATATAAACTAGCGAGTTAAGAGTTCGTCCCTGGAAAAAAATAAACCTGGAACGAACACGGTGATCTATGTATGTGCTATTCTAGATTATAGGTAATCACCGGTGGTAGGACTCTGTCAAGCCTGAGGAGTCCGACTGGATGGGTACCGGGGCTCTGATACCGGTAGGTATATTTTTCGAAACGGTTTCGTCTTAAATACCTAAAAAACGATTTGTATTGGTTTCGAGCAGTTCTTGACGTTTTTGAGCAGGAACAAACTTTAAATCGTTTTCGGTTAATAAAACGTGTTTAACCGTTATTTTTCTTATTTTTCTGGGATATCCAGTACAAACTTACGAATAGTTTTATTCACTAGGTGAGCGTGGCTTAGTTTAGTTGTTGCACATTGAGCGCGGTCGCGTCCTGCGGATTAAACCGGTTGTTGAAAACGTCCTCGTTTCGTTTTCGTTCCGAACAAAAAGATGTACATAATAGTTCAAAAAACTGTTAGGAACATTTAAAAAACGATATTTTAAGTAACGTTTCCGAGCCCTGATGGGTACCACCCCCTTATCTATTTCTCCCGCCAAGCAACAATGATTACATTGTTGTGTTCCGGTTTGAAGGATAAGGTAGCCAGCGCAGTTACAGGCAAGAGGCATATCATCTTAGTCCTCACAGTGACAACGCACTTGCGGTTCTGCATTTTTGTTACATAAAACCCAAGTGCATAAACCGTAGGTGTTATGGGCGACAGGTACCGCTTTCCATCAGGTGGGCTGTCTGCTCGTTTGTCACTGAATACTATAAAAAAAAACTATCTCTGTGCCAAATTTAATCCAGATCCGTTCAGTCGTTCTGGCGTCCAAAGTTACGCATTTATAATATTGATGAGATTAATCTTTATTATTTGTAATTATATATAAACCTAATTTTTTTGTGTTTTTAGTTTGAAATCCATTCAATAAACAGTGGAACTGTTTTACGGCTTGTAGTAAAAACTTTAATTTTGGTGTCATTAGATTTTATGTTTTGAAGAAACCCACACAACACAGTTACTTAAAGCATGTTTAGAATTTTTAATAGTTGCATTTTTATCCCTTATATACTTACCTAGCTATATAAGTCTATTTGTGAGTGTGTACGTGTACGTATCCGTGTGTGTGTGTGAATTTTTTCGCTGATTTATTTCAATCCTGTTGTTCCTGATGTTTCAAACGCTCTACAGCAATGAAGCATTCGAAATGTCGGGCACCGAAAATTTATAGTTAAATAAATTCGCGTAAAGACAAGAAATGTAGTTTTATAAAAAATGTCAGATATTCTCGTAAATCTAAGAAAGGTTTAAATGTTATTTTGGTATGACTTACAGGTAATTCAAGCTCTCGCGCCTCCGACCACAGAGTCAAACTGTACAAGTTCTTCCAGAAAATGGACTACCATACCATCGCTTTTGATTATCGGGGTGAGGTTTTAGTTTTTTTTTATTTTAATATAATTTTAAGGGTGGATTTTTGGTGAAATAAAAAAATGTGACTTTTCAAAAAGTTTTAAAAGATTTTTAAATAAAACTTAAATCTTTTTGGACTTTTTTGCAGATTATTTTCGATTTTTAATTTCATGAAATGATTTCTGTAAAACATTCGAAATACCATTCGAAATTGGTGCCCGAGCAAAATCAAAACAAATCCGCGAAGGAATCCGGGCAGATAGCTTTATTTAAAATGTCAAGTATTCGTGTAAATCTATAATATTTTTTTTGTATAATATGTTACGTTATAAATATTATTATATTTATTTTTTATATGTTACCCAGAAATTGTTAGTAAAACTCAAATTGATAGTAAAACTAGGTCCCGCAAATAACGCCATCTATTGGAAGTAATCCTAACCGGAAATTCCCATATGAAACTAATTTTGATATTTTTTTTCTATATATCGTCTGTTACTTTGGGGTTTTGGGATACTTTTAAATCTATAAATGTATATAAAAGAAAGTCGGGTTAGTTACAATATTTATAATTCAAGAACGGCTGGACCGATTTTGATGATCTTTAATACATTGGATCTGTCCCCGCCCCGAATAGCACAATAATTTTAAAACTCACTATTAACTATTTATATCTAATCAAAATGTACATACGAGCGAAGCTAGGGTAAGACGCTAGTATAGATTAAAAAAAACCTGAATGTTTTGTTTTTAATTATGTCATATTTATAGCCTTTAAAACTATCATGTCATATTTTCTATACAAAATAGTTCTGATGTTTCTCATTTGCCAGACGACGATTTTAATTGTTTTATGACATATTTTATTTCCAGGGTACGGCGACTCAACAAACGTAACGCCCAGTGAAGATGGTGTTGTAGAAGACTCACTGATAGTGTACGATTGGCTTCAAAATACTATACAAAAATCGGAAAATAAACCCCCTCTATACCTATGGGGGCATTCTTTGGGTATGTTTCAATAGATTTTTAATTTTATATAATGTAAATATTATTTTTATTACTAGCGACTCACCTTCGCTCCGCTCGGGTTCGTCCCTAGTTACGTTTTAAAGGTTAGTATAGATTTCTCAGAGATGAGATATTTTCCAGCAGTAAAAATATCCTATATGTTGACTCGGATAATCAACTATAATCATATCAAATTTGATCAAAATCCCTAATTTGGTTTTTCCGTGACGCCGTCACAGACAGACAGACAAAAATTCTAAGAACTATAGATTCGGCATCTGTATCGATAATGATAACTATTTCAATAAGATTTTTCAAAAAATATTTAATGTACGTCTGTACATTAAATATTTTTTTTCTCAAAGTTCTACTCAAAATTTTATTATATATTGTATAGATATTATTAATATTAGTATACGTATTTGTGCTGACTTCTACATTCACTTTCATCCATTTCATCCAACCACACAATTTAAAAAAGAAGGGGGTTCAGTGTTTATGTGATTGTCTTTGTATATTACGCTATGTATAAATACAATTTTAAAAAAAACTATAAAAATGAAATAAATTATATATTTATTTTGAAATCAATGAAACTTAATAGAAAGCAATGGATGAAGATGAAATGAAGAAAGAAGTGCTTTCTTAGATTTACGCGAATATTTGACATTTTAAATAAAACTGTCATTTCGGGTTTTTTTTGCGGATTTTTTTTTATTTTTGTTTCGTACAAACTATAAGAAAATCCCAATAAATTCGCGAAAAAATCCAAACAAATAGTTTTACTTAAAAAAAAAGAATTAATGACATATTTTTTTCTTATCCATACAGGGACAGGAATCTCATCCCACCTTCTCGGTAATTTACCGGAACTGTCGAAGAATGTTCTAGAAAAATCTGAACCCTTACCGCAGCCTAATGGTCTCATATTAGAATCTCCGTTTAGTTGTTTGGCTGATGAAATGCATTATCACCCTATTGCTTCGGTGAGTTTGTATTATATAAAAACTGTGAAAAACAAATATATCTATCCCACGGGAATCGTACATTTTTCCGGAATAAAAGTAGCCTATGTGCTATTCCAGACTATAATCTATTTCTGTGCCTTTTATCCAGATCCATTCAGCCGTTCTGGCGTGATTGAGTAACAAAGATTCAAACATCTAGACTTTCGTATTTATAATATTAATATTCGTATTTATAATATTAAGATTACTAATAATGGGATAATTATTGATAGTAACTTTTTTTTTAAATACTCTATAATGTATGCTGTAATAATTTAAAATACTAATAATTTATAATAATGATAAATGTATAATATAATTAAATTTAATATAATTTATTTTAATATAATTTAATTTGATAAATTTAGTTAAATTTACTAGTTAATCATTAAATTATTATTCTTCATACCAAATTCCATCTAAATCGCTTCTGCGGATTATGAGTGAAAAGGACCAGACAGACAGACAGTTACTTTCGCATTTATAGTATTAGTACGGATAAAAAATCTCATTTACTACACATCACACCAGCTTATATTTATAATATGTATATATTTAAAAGAAATGATAACCATACCACAAGCCTCGTAGCTTACCATGGAACTAGATGGTGCTGTGTGTTAATGTCCTTACATATTTATATTTATTTATAGCTAGTATCATGGCTGCCATATTTCGAGGCGGCGTTTGTGACTCCATTCAAAGTGCACAAAGGCCAGCAGTTCTTTTCGGACAAACACTTGTGTCGAACGCCGACTTTGCCCATTCTGATACTGCACGCACGGGACGACGTCATCGTACCACATCTTATAGGGAAAAAGGTATGTATTGTATCACTACATAGTATAAAACAAAGTCGCTGTATGCTTAAATCTTTAAAACTACGCAACGGATTTTGGTGCGGTTTTTTAATAGATAGAGTGATTCAAGAGAAAGGTTTATATGTATAATACATGCATATTATAGTACAGAATAACCGAGAAATTCGAAGATTTGTATTTCATACTAACCGTTAAAACGTACCTAGGGATGGACCTGAGCGAAGTGAGGGTGGGGTTTAAGAATCGATTAGGGAATATGAGTGGTTTTTTTTTTAATTTTTGTTTAATAACTAACATCGTTATATAATTGTAAAAAAATATCCAGGTACAAAAAACTAAAATGTAGTATAAAAAATCTTTAAAAATATCATACCGATACGGACACGTTAAACGCCCGGCATTTCGCGCGCTCGGCGTGACGTCACAATATGAAAAATAATAATAAAGCAAGTAATATTATTAAAAAAAATCACCTTTTGTATTTAAATCATACGCATATTTCCTATTATAATTTTAAAGAAAACTATCTTTTCGGATTTCTTCGTGAATTTATTTTCGCCTACCCATAAAATTGTAAAATGATATTCAAAAATACAACTTACATATACTTAATGTATAAGACGCTGTCTGTAACAACTATATAATGATCTTTGAGACGTCCAAACCCTCAGTCTCTCCCGTGACCATGATTGCTGTAAAGCATTCGAAACGTCGGGAACCAAAAATCAAAATAAATACGGGCAAAAATCCGAAAATTTTTTTTTTTTTAAATATCAAATATTCGCAATAGTAATTTTCTTGCATGTTTTAAGGGAAAGGATATTGTAATTTAGATTAAAGAATTTTATTTATTTATTTTTTTTATTTATTTATTTCAGGCAATATTTACATAGGGATCTTAAATATGTAAACAGCGGCCCATAGCATATATACCTTAAAACTAACATATATATTAATTATAAAAAACTTAAAAAACTATTTAACACGTAGTGCAGAGGTGTAAGCTGTGTCGGCGGGCATACGACCTCGGAACTTCCGAAACACGACGCCCTGCGGCCAGAAGTCCTCCTTCATGAAGGTTGGCAGATGATGAGTCGGCACTCTCACCACAAACGAATTGAAACTCGTTTTGTGGCGAGGTACCAGCCGTTCAACCCTCAATTTGAAGTTGGACCTCTTCAGGACGTAGTCTACGACATCCTCGACCTTCGTAGACCAGTGCACTCGGGACACATACAGCGGCGTCGATGGTACGGCAGGACGCATCGGATGGTCTGGCTGGTTCGGAGCTGTGCCACAGATGTTACGGCATGAGGGCTTCCTTTTCTTCCTCTCCACTTTAGTGAAGCCCTCCTCGTCAGGTTGGATCTTCGTGGAACCCGCCGAAGGCACCTGTTTGGCAGCTGGTTTGCTCCGGCTCTTCTTTTTCCCTCCATTCGAGGGCCGGTTGTTTGGCGGGGCGGGTGTAGCGGCGGGGTCGGGCGCGGCTGCGGCTGCGGCGTATGCACGCGGCGGGGTCATGACCGCGCTCGCACTCGACGTCATCAGCGGGGCCGGGGAGCGGGTGGCGGGCGTCGCTGTGTCGCGCGATTCACGCACCTCAGCAGTAATCGGAGGCGACGACAGACTGCTGATGGAGTCAATTTGTGCGCCACGACGTGTGTTTATGTTAGTGACCTCCGGTGACCTACTTACAGAACCATTATTTTTGAACGATAATAACTCTGCGCGCAGCTCACTGATGGTAGATTCGGAAATCTCTAACTTAAACTGCACCTCTGCCAAGTCAGCTTTCAGGATGGTGATATCCTTGAGCAGCCTGGTAACGTCAACGTGGTCGAACGTGACGGGAGGCAGCTTGTTCAGCTGCTTCGCCACGAAGTTGGGCACGTCGTCAGGATCGGTTATCTTCAGGAGATTAATGATGTCCTGAAGATTTCTCTCCCCCTTTTCATCCCTTCTACGAGTGGGCATTCGGTCGGCTTTAGTTTATAAGCCTCTTAAATATGTTGATTATTAGAGTTAACGGAAATGTTATGTGTAATAAATTTCACATATATAATATGTATTTTCAGTTGTACAAAACTATATTAGAATCTCGAGCTAACGGCGGAGCGACCATCAAACTTCACTCGTACGATAAGAAAGAAAAATTAGGCCACAAATGGATTTGCAACGCCAAAGATCTGCCTGATGTTGTTGGGTGAGAAAATGTTTTGAATTCTTATCTATCAGCATTAATCAAAAAAATACTAGATACACAATCAGCGACAAAAATGTCCTCATCGAATGAGAGCTCATTTAAACGTATAAGTGCGCTTTTATTATTTTTTTGTGATAACAACTTTAAGCATTGCATTTAAGGTTCAATTTATATTGTTATATATTTATTTCAAGTTCAATAAATACCTAAACACAATTGGTGACAGTTTTAAGAGAATTTTTGTATGGGATTGTGTATCAAGTACTTTTTTTGATCCGACGCCTACCAGTATATAATGTATGTACCATACAAACAAACATTTATATTAAACTATTCTATTTAATTCTTCCAATAATTATTGTTTTTAAATATAAAAGTACACTGACTTGAAAATAACTATAAATTTATTATTTCATCTTCATTGATGATTCTTTCTCTTTAAATTTATTGTAATTTTGTTATATAATTGTAATAAATATACGTTTAGTATATATTTCTCAGAGATGAAATATTTTCGCGCAGTTAAAATTTTCCTATACGTTGATCCTAACCAGATATCATACCAAATTTCATTAAAAATCTGTCCAGTGGTTAATTTCTCGTGATGCATTCCCAGACAGACGAAAATTCTAAAATCTATAGATTCGACCTCTGTATCGACAATAACGATTATTTCAATAAGATTCAAGAACCCATCTATCTCAATACCAAATTCATCGAAATTGGTCCAGAGGTTTAGGTGTGAAAACATAACACACAGAACTACTTTAACATTTATAATATTAAGTATATATATATATATATATATATATATATATATATATATATATATATATATATATATATATATATATATATATATATATATGCACTCAGCGCCATCTTTTGGCAAATTTTATTATTAAAATAATCGTGAAGGAGTAACAAACATACGCACGTACAAATTTTTGTGTATATATTTATTTAGTATTGTGCTTTAAATTTTTTTTTGTTCCAGTGACTTCGTAACGAATCATCAATGAAAAAAAAATAGAATATTTTTACACGCTTACGCTTTAAAGATCTCGGGGAGGGATGCTTTACGCATATAATATTATTATTTAATTTCCTTTTGAAAATTAAATGATCCGATATTACTGAAGTGTTTTTGTGTTTTATTTATCTTTTTAATTTTTAGTACCTATATAGTATTTAATTAAATAAAATTAATTATTTATATAATCATGTGTCTGTATTAGACATAATATTTTATTTATGATAATTTAATATTTTAACGTTTACCTCAGAGATGAGATATTTTCCAAATTTCCCGCGGTAAAAAGTATCCTATATGTTGAAACGGATAACCAGCCGTCATCATACCAAATTTCATCAAAATCTGTCCAGTGGTTTTCTCGTGATGCAGTCACAGACAGACAGACAATAATTCGAAAAACTATACGTTCGGCCTCTGTATCTATAATAATGTCTATTTCAGTAAGATTTTCCAAAAAATATTTAATGTACAGATTCGACTCAGAATTTTATTATACGTATAGATAAGAAAAGTTTTGAGAGAAGTTTTTTGTGAAATTAGTTCAAATAAATATTAATAGATTGCGTTATATGTATCGATTTGTTCTTCGTGTTTGTATAAAAAGATTAATTACTATAAGAAAAAAATCATCCAAAAATATATATTTTGGTGTTAAAAAATGCGCTAAGTAAAGAAAATGAAATAATGCTTTCTTAATCAAGTTAACGTAATTTTACTGGTTTAAACTGCATTGGCCATTACATAATGAATTTGTACTGTGTGTTCATAGATTTCATATACAATGGGGGCGGACGTCGTAAAAAGTGACGATCTATAATTCGTTTATATTAGGCTTGACGTGAAAAGCCCTTTATGTTAATATTTAATATTATGTATGTATTTACAAAATAGTAAGGCGGTTTTCGCATCAACGCCATCTATTATCTATATAAGAAAACAAATAACGAAAGTAGTCCAAATTAAGGATTTCCAATTATTTTGTATGGGGCACGTAGCAAGACTCGCATCTCACAGCAAGTATGACACATGTTGTCTCCGACTTGATATGATCCTACTTATTTTGATCTTTTTAGTCAGTTTTTACGCTGTCACTTTTTTTTATTTTTATAATTTAATTCATACTACTCAACGTGATCGGCACGAGCTTTACGACTCAAATTTAGAAATTCGTGTGTGTGGTAGCGCTTGGAAACCGAGTGAAGTGGTTTTAAATCGGGTCCGCACCTCTAATATTTTCATGTGCGAATCATTTCCAACATGATTACCACTTGTCATACGGTGAACGAAAACATCGTGGGAAAACCTGCATGTCTGAGAGAACTTGAGTAAGTTTTCGAAAGACATGCTCAGTCCGCCCGCACTTGGCCAGAGTGGTGGACTATGGCCTGATCCGTATTGAAAACCCATAGTATCCCTATACCCGTATTGGAAGCCCATCCCCAGCTGTGGGACATTAAAAGGGGCTGAATACATTCTTGGATTTTAAATATTTAAAACTTGACATTAATTTAAAAAAAAAGATGACTTGCAAATGACAAACATCAAAAGCGAACTGTCATAGTAAGTAACAAAATTAAATATCTGTAAAATGAGCGAAAAAAAATGTAAAATGTACATAAAATAAAATAAAAAGATATCACCTAGCTAATAAATATGGTTGTCGGGTAAGAATATGTTAGAAACAGTGTAAATTTTAAGAGATTAGAAATTTGATAAGTTATAACATGTTTTTGTATACTTTATCATGAATTACTGTCTTGTGTCCATGATCATTTTGGGATCAATTTAGAACTAACTCGTTATTCGACATATAGAATCACCACGCCATATTTTTATCTTTGCTGCTCTGTATGTTTGTTTCATTACTTATTTATTTAAAACCATTAATAATTATTCATATGTATATTAAAAAAAAAACAAATAATATACATATTACAATAATATAAATGATAAATAATAAAAAAGAAGGAAAATTTATACTGTGTTATTATGTATGTAAGTATATTTTGTTTCAAGAGCAATATTATTGACTGGTGCTTCTTTGACTGCGAGTGTTTTTGTTCTACACGTAGCAGTACTGCCTTTAGTATTCAAATACAGTAAGTCAGTTCAAAGGAAAATGGTGTTTTCTAATTGTAGTACGTATATTTTTAAACTCCTAATAAAATAAAATAGCTATAATTTATTCATCTTGTAAAAACATTGCTATATATTTATACTAGGAGCTTAACTAACTATGTACATAATACATATTTTCAATTTTAAAATATGATAGTTAAATATTTATTATATTAATTTCAGTAAACTATCCGAAAAATCTTAACTTTGAAAACCCTTCAAGTTGTAATGTGTTTGGGGGTAGAAATTTTAACATCGAGTTTCAATCAATTGTGGATGACTGCCCGATAAAGCTAGGTGATTTATTACATTGTGATTAAGTTTAAATATTATTTATACTAATAACTGTAAGTTATATTATAAAACAATAAGTTTTTAAGATTTTCATTTTCACTAACATTACTTATATAATGGAAATAACATTCCATGTTTCTCATTTTGATATTTTGTGAGTTAACGACGTGTCGGTATTGTTAGAAGCGCCATGGTCTTATATAAATAAAAAAATCTCATTTCATGTAATTAAAAGAACTGAAAACAATATATTAATATTAATAATCTGCTCCTGACCGATTTCGCCCACTTCGGCAAATCTCACTGAAGCTAGCTAAATGCGCAGGAGATATTATAGTGTAGAAGTGTACGCGCAGACACAGATGCACTCTCTATTCCTTTTTTCTCTCAAAGTCCGATGGGACCCCCGGACCAAACTCTGACACGACCGGTGAGAGTTAAGGCGCAGGACCAACGGCTTTACGTGCTCTCCAAAGCAACAGGGTGAAACATTGCCAAATTCCCAACTCCAGACTGCTTCTGAGAATATCATAACAGAAAACTCTAATTCTTGACCCGACCCAGAATTCGAACCCAGGACCTCCGGATCTGCAGCCGTACATGCAAGCTACTACCCCACCGAGGCAGTTAAATTAATCTTAAATATATTATGTAGGTAAGTACAGCTTGCGGTAAAGCTAACAAAATTTGCTATATTTTTCAACAGGCGTCTGGCATATAGTACCATGTGCTGTATTTCGGGACCTTGTTATAATACGTGATAATTTAACTTTCGACCAGAAACTGCAAAACGAATTGAAGAAAACTTCAAAAACTATTGTTTTATATTGTCATGGTAAATATACATCCTATAGATAGGTACATATAATAAAATTGTAACAGCCGAATCTGTACATTAAATATTTTTTGGAAAATCTTATTGAAATAAACATTGTTATCGATACAGAGGCCGAATCTATAGTTTTTAGAATTTTTGTCTGTCTGTTACCGCATCACAGAAAAAACACTGGAGGGATTTTGATGAAATTTGGTATGGCGATAGCTGGTTACATATAGGATACTTTTTACCGCGGGAAAATGTCTCATTTCTGAGAAAAAATACAAAAACTGCATTATAAGAGTATACTAATAATATGTAAAATGTAAGAATTTGGTTTTTGGTCATCTGAACGCGGGCGGAGCCGCGGGCAACGCTAGTCTTATATATATTTTCTTACGTATAGTATATTATGATATGAAAATGGCTTGATGTTAAAAAATAAACATAGCCTACTTATAATGTACCAATTAGTAGTAATTATAGATAATATGCACCTATCTACATATAATTAAATTACATTTACTAGGAAATTCAAACCACCGCGCTTCGCCACATCGACTGCAAATGTACAAGGTCTTTCAAGAACTGAACTTTCATGTAATCACTTTCGATTATAGAGGTAATAACAAAATATAATTGAACTAACAATAACACATGCTGCAGTTAACTGGTTCGATTCTCGTACTGGGCAAAGTAAGCTACGAAAAGAAAGAAGAAACTCTTATAGGATCGCTTCGTTGGACGTCTGCCTGTCTGTCTATCTGTTAAGATGCTTTTTTCAAGAACGCGAGGAGGTATCAAGTTGAAATGAATACCAAATAGATATATATATATATTATGCCGCATATTGAAACTCGTAAGGAAATCAAAACCTATAGAATCATGAAATTTGGCAAGAAGCAATACCATATTTATTTATTTATGTACCAGAAAAAAAACATACAAGTAAAAACTGATACCATGTGTACAAAAGATGACTTATCTCTTTAAGAGATCTCTACCAGAAACCCTCAAGCGTGAGAAAATATATAAATAATAATGCGGTGCGGTGTAGGTACAAACTGCAAACATCAATTATACTATAAATATACATATATACAAACATACATACATACGTACATAGATACATACATACATGTTTACATAGATACTTACATACCTTATAGCACAAGTAAAGAGAAGAAAAGAGAGAAAAAAGAATTAGAAAAAAATAGTTTTTTTTTTGCGATTATAAACTTATTTTAATGTTTCATGCTACGGAACCCTCGGTGTGCGAGTCAGACTCGCACTTGTCCAATTTTTTTTACAATAGAAAAGAACATAGATAATGATTTTGTAGGTTACGGCGACTCTACAAACGTACGGCCCACGGAAAAGGGAGTTGTTGAAGACGTGTTACAAGTTTATACTTGGCTCATAAATTCTATTGAGGGAAATCAGAAGCCATTAATCGTTTTATGGGGACATTCTTTAGGTGCTTTAATTTTTCTTAATTAATTAAATTGATTAATTTAAAAAAAGTTTGAATTTTAAACAGTAAGTTGATTGAAGAATGATTTTTTATCTGTGTTGCCGGAAGTGTTGACAGATTTCTGTCAAAATATTCGAATATTTCGGACTGCTATTAAAATGGTGAAATTTTGTATATGTGTGTATGTTTGTTACTTCTTCACGCTTAAACTACTAGATGGATTTGGATGAAAAGTATACAGATAGTCTATGGCTTAAAGTATCACATAGACTACTGTTTAGGTAACTAGAGACATACCTTCAATATGATCAGATCAGAATAGGGGGATCAGCCATAGTCCACCACGCTGGCCAACTGCGGGTTGGCGGACTTCACATGTCTTTTGAAAACGGAAAAGAATAGGTTCACAGTGTTTTCTTTCACCTTAAGACAAGTGGTAATCGTGTTGGAAATGATTCGCACATGAAAATATCAGAGGTGCGAGACTCGGGATTTGAACCCGTTTCCCTCGCTTTCCCAAACGGGCGCGTTACCACTCTACCACTGCCTGTAAATAAATAAATATATTTAATAGGTACAGCTATAGCAGCGAACTTGGTATCACATATAAGCCAATTATGTAGCGAACGTAACACATCATGTCTGCCGCCGCCTGACGCGCTCGTGTTAGAGGCGCCATTCAATAACCTACTAGATGAGATTGAAAGCCATCCGTTCTCTAAAGTCAGTATTGGAAAATGGAAAATTTAAGGAAAATACTTTCTAGTCTTTATTTTAGATACGAGATTTTATTTCGTTTGTTTGTTAGTTTCTCTACATGAAGTTATTAGGTATGAGGTAAAATTTGTATGTTTGGTTGTGGGACGTAAGCTGAGAACTATACTTATACACGATTCCCAAAATTCTTTCACTAATATTTAGATTGGACGTTCAAAGTGGACATAAATTAAATATAATTTGGTTGAAATATAAGGTTTTTTCGTAGGTTTATTTTTATAATTTATGTAAGAACTATCTTGAGGTTAACCTAACACGTTTGTTAACACGTTCACTGCGTCATCATTTTGAAAGAACTTTCAGCTGGTGCTTTGGAGACCTAAAAGATCTCGAAACTAGCCTACCCTTTGGTGCGTTAGAGACCTAATCAGTCTCCTAAAAATACAGTTTTGAAAATAATTTATATCTTCCAAAAAACTAATGACATATATTTTGAAGTTTTTGTGGGTCAAGAGAGCCTCTTGCTCTACATTTTGCTAGGTTCGCACGCAGTTATGACATTAGAAAAAACTACAAATACCAAAAAAAATTTAGATATCGATTGTATCTCGTACCGCAACCGAAGATAGTTCAATATGCGTAGTAAGTAGTGATGGGAATAAAATAATATCTCAGTTGTCGATTGAAAAAGTTTTATTAAAGAAGTTTATTTATAAACTATGCAAAGTGTTTTTCATTAAAACATGGTAAGCACATTGATTATTTGCATTGCGCGCAAATGGTAACAATTTTTTTAGCTTTTTTTAGAAGCGTCAGTGCTGTTTAATGTGCGTCGTAATTTTTCATAACAACCCACACAACGTCTTTTTTTGTCGCCACGTTGGAAAACATGATCTGTACATCTTCCTTCGGGGAATTCTGTAATAAAAAGCATTATATTTTCCAAAATTGTAATTATACTGGACGATGCAGCACTATAATCCAGCGTTGATTTTTCATTCTTAGAAATCTCACCAAAATAAAACAATTTATTAAATAATTAAATAAAATATATTAAATAAAAATTTTTTTACACTTTTTCGAAACGTGCGCGCAACCTCCCACGTCGACACTAGGACAACACTAAATCGATTCACACAGCGCCCGCGCCGCCCACCCTCCCTCTCTTGCGTCTACGAGGCGTACGATTCCACGAGTATCGACATGTCTCCTAACGCAAGGAATAAAAATAATTATACTACTGTGCGTTAGGGACCTAATCCATCTCTATTTATTTTTTTTATGTCCTCGAATTCACCTTCAAGTAGGAAGCAAATATGTATATTTGTCTTACTCATACTTAAAGAACTTTACACGTTAGAGCCTCCCGCAAGGAGTGAAACAACACGATTATAGTCAACGCACAATACAAAAGTCTTGCAAGAGATCTGATAGATCTCGTAATGCAGCGAACGTGTTAAACAAACTTTGTTAGGCTATCCATCAATAGACGCGAATATTTTTTAACATGTAAATAAAGTACTTTGTACACTGTTGCAGCAAAGAACAATAAGTATGGTTATTTGTTTGTCTGTGTATATGTATGTACATACGTCTAACTCTACATTCCTGTAATTATTAAACTACTGAACCACAAATGTCAAGACTCATAAGCAGTAAGTTTAATATAAAACATGTAGGTATGTATCCGACTGCACTATACTATATATTACTACTAGCGGACCCGACAGACGTTGTCCTGTCTACAATGATAACAAAACTTTTTTTTTAATTTGATCGCAGCGCTAACTGTCGGGACAGACTAAAATTAAAATTCGAATATTATTTAAAATTTGACACTGCGATGGTAGCGCCGTCTGTCGGATCCAATGTAAAACATTCCAAAATCAACAACTACTAATAAATTAAAAATTAATTAAAAAAACATTGTCCAGCGGACAAAATTGTGAATCTAAACCATTCCCAGATCCCCTTGAACACACACAAAAAATTTCATCAAAATCGGTCCAGTCGTTTGAGAGAAGTTCAGTGACATACACACTCACAGAAGAATTATATATATAAAAGAAGATGTCATCTTGACATCCTCTTTTTCCGGTCGGACTTCGTTTGTTTTCGTTATTTTATATCCCAATAAATAAAAAGGTTGCTGCGGGAATTATTTGCTAAAAAAAATATCTAAATTTACATTTTACAGCTAGTGTCCTGGTTGCCATATTACAAGAACTCATTCGTCAAGCCATTTACGTCATCTTCAGAATACGCTTTCACAACTGATCGATATCTGTGCGATGTTCCCACTTTGCCGATACTGATGCTACACTCTAAAGGAGATAGAATTGTGCCTTATGATTTGGCTGTTAAGGTTCATTATTGTAATTTCTGTATGACTGAAATTATTTCGATATAGATCTTTTATTGATAGTTTAAAGGTATTAGGTTCGATTCCTTGAGTTTATACTCGAGAAATAAACGCTCAGGCTACAACAACTCTCACGTTCAACGCTACTTCAGGCCATATTATATGTTGTAAGTGGATATCAGGGTCACTAATAGGTATTTATTTCAATAAAATTTGGTAAAGTACGAGTTGGGTTTACTGATTCTGTTTAATAGGTAATTTTTAAGGTTTAGGATTTTCGTTAAGTAGGTACTTACCTATACGTTTTCTGTCACATCTGGATGAGGCCTAATCATTTATCTAATAATATTTTTTTAATTAAAAGATTAGTTAGATTAGATAGTTCGATAGAGATAAATGATTTAACACTGAATTTTAAAATTATTTTGAGCTGAACTTTGAATATATTTTATACCAGGGACTTCCCATCTTTTCCCTTAGGTACGTCCCTAGGTACCTAAAAGGATTGTCATAGACTATCTGTGCACTAAATTTTATCAAAATCCGTTCAGCCGTTTCAAAGTGAAGTAGTAACAAACTTACACACACACATTCGCATTTATAATAATATTCCGAAAAAATCTATACATTTTGTTATGGAAGGACGGCGTCTCTTAATACAAGCAATAGGTAATTACTTGCTTAAAAGGGGACCACAACTACAAACTTTGTCAACACTGTACCTCTTTATGCAATTTTTTCTCAATATTTTTCTCAATATTTTTATTCCAATATAGATAACGAAAAAAATCCTAACATAAACTGAGTCTAAAAATTTAACCGGACAAATGTGGTTCCGAAAAATATAACATGTATCAAATAGAAGGGGACTGTTCTCTTTTGAATCACTTTAGGGGTCACTAATTGAAATGTACCACCACATATGGAGTAAATTTGGTATCGTAGCTATAATTTCTTTTTAGGGGAGAGTAAAATATTTACTGGCTGCCATTACTGTGCATTTAATTGTTAAACAAGTTGTCGTCTATATAATATAAAAACAATGTCGGGCTTTACAGCAATCATTGCTGTAAAGCATTCGAAACACCATAAAGTCAGATATCAAAATAAATCCGCCAAAAAATCCGAAAAGATAGTTTTATTTAAAATGTCAAATATTCGCGTAAATCTAAGAAATTATTATAAGTCAGTCTGCCCCTAACTAGTTATCTTAGTTCACTAAGTACCTTGATACCTATATGGTGGAAAAATGAATGTTTGTATTCTACAACGTAGGTATATAGTACCTAAACAATAGTGACCCTGGTAATATTTTCTCATTTTATCAGATATAGAGGACCCTAAAATTATTGAAGTGTTATTTGTTATAAATAAATATGTTGGGACATTTAATACACAGCACCATCTAGTTCCATGGTAAGCTACGAGGCTTGTGTTATGGATACCAGATAGTTGATACACTACTGTTTGTACACCTTTGACAGGAGTACAAACATTCGTGCTCATCATACAAATGAATGCACCCAATGGGACTCTAACCCGCGACCGTTGGCACAGCAAGTAGGGTCACTACAAACTGAGCCAAACGCGTCGTAAAACTGTTACATATTTTACAATTTGGTACAAATTAAAAGCTTCTTTTTTTTATTTTTATATATTCTGTCTGTTGCTAAAAGAGATCACAAAGCTAACATAATAACAAGTGGCATCATCTAACTTCTAGTTGTACGAATGTATAAAGAATTCAAGAACTACAACAGGATTACTAGAGTTCCATGTATTCGACAAAGGCCACAACAACTTGTGCGAGGCTTGCGACTTGCCGCTGGTCGTTACGTGAGTTTTATTCGATTTATGTCATCCTTCACCTTTAGTTTTACATAATTAAGTATTGTTAGCCGACTTCAAAGCAAGTAATTTAATATAATAAAATTTAATAGAATAAAATACACAAAAAAATCTTATATTTGCAATCATGTTTCGAACGAATTATTATAAAATTTTTATTTTAAATAAAACTATCTTTTCAGATTTTTTCTAGAATTGATTTTGATTTTTAGCAGTCTCAATGATTGCAGTAAAGCATTCGAAACGTCGGAACCCAAAAATTAAAATAAATCCGTGAAAAAGTCCAAAAAGACATATGAAAATGTTCGAATAAAACTAAAAAAGTATTAAAATTATTAATTCTAAGTAGGTACCTAACATACTCGTACCATAACATAAAATCTGACTAAAACATAACCTACCTATTAAATTTCAATTCAATTCGTTATTTATATTTTACCTAATAAACCCACAGTTATGCGGTCATATTAATTGTTTGGATGCTGAATAACTATTTAATAATGATATGTGTGCGTGTGAAGCCGCAAACAAATTTGTATCTATACTAATTTATAAAGAGGTAATGTTTGTGAATTGTGAGTTTGTGAGTTTGTGACGTTGTAGGGAGTAATCTCTGGATCTACTGAACCGATTTAGATAAAATTTGGTAAGAAGATAGTTTGAGACCCTAGGAAGGACAAAGGATACTTTTAATCCCGGAAATCAATCCTTAAGGGTGCGAAAATGGGGATGAAAGTTTGTATGAGGAATCAACCTAGGGACAAACCTGAGCGTGGGTGAGTCGCTAGTAATAATATATGAAAGGATATGATTGGGGAGTTTAAAATAAATTAGGGCTAGAATTTTTTTTTATTTTCTAATTTATTAAGTGGTGCTAGATTAATTAGAACGTGGTGTAGGCTGTTGACTGTGGGTCATGTAATATATACGACCCACTACTGGTGGTGGGCCTCCCTTTGAGGCGATAACGAGGGGGATCAGGCCATAGTCCACCACGCAGGCCGAGTGTGGGCGGACTGAGCAAGTCGTTCAAAAACTTGCTAGGTTCTCTCAGACATGCAGGTTTCCTCACGATGTTTTCCTTCACTGTAAATAATCATGTTAGAAAACGTACATCTAGCTTGTCGTAATTAAGGTAATATTTCATATGTTGGCATGTATGGCAATGTACTTACTTGACAAAGCAAAAGAAGCGGGTTCAAATCCCAGGCCTCGCATCTCTGGATGGGCCCTGATTCCCCTCGCATTGCGGGGATGATTTTATAATTAAATTATATAAGTTATTTAAAATTTATTAAATTCATTATTCTAATAGTACTAACTATTAAAAATAAGTTTAAGGGTTTGGCTCTCATTTGTAAGTTAAGCTTTTTTAATTGTTATACAAACGTAAAAGTTTGGAACAAAGTGTATGTAAATGAACTTTAAACGAAATAGGTATAATAAAAAGTTTATTAATTGATTTAATTTAGTTTTTAATTGATTGAAGATTTTTTATTTCTATTTTAATATCAATTTTTCTAGGAATTTTCTGAAACAAATCAAGAAGGATTAAGAAGAAAAAATGTAAAGAAATGAATCAATAAAATATTTGTAATGTTGCCTTGAGAATTATTTCATTTTTACAATAAACTAGTAGGTATTAATTCTCAAATATATGCGGCATTCAAATTTGCTGAACGAATTTTAATCATGCTTTGATATTTTATAGATAATCAAGTCAGTCTCAATTAAAGACACAAAAGAAACAACCCGTTCTGCTAGTTTTCTTACAGCCATTCAGTAAATTCTCTAAATAGAAATATTTAATTAAGTCTTGAAGAATTTTTTCTTCAAGACACAAATTGGTGCTTATATCAGTCATTTTCATTTTTAATGATATATATTATATACTCTATGACCCTCTAGTTATCCTGACGAATCTAACGACGAATGAATCATCAAAATCGGTAAAGCCGTTTAGTAATTACGAGGGAACATAGGATCGGACATACCTACATACATACATACAGGTCAAACGCATAACCCTCCTTTGGGCTTCACCGCAGTCGGGTAAAAATGTAACAAGCCTAGAACTCGTTACCTATTAGGACCCAAGCCGACCCTCCCAAGTCTCACCGCTGAGCTGTCCATTATAAGCTACTCCCCCTGCAAGTCGAGCGTGAAATTTCATAGTACTCATTTCAAAACGCAATCTCGCCAAATGTTTAGTTTTTATCGCAATATTCATTACTTGCATCCCCGCGGTGAAAATAGAGATACTAAAGTGTAATAATGGCTAAATAAAATATTACGTATAACTATTATTTAAATATTTTTACTTCTTACATATAAGAATAATTATAAATTAAAAAATTTAAAAACCCCCGACGCAAATTGTCATTTAACGACTACACTGGCACGCGTGAAGCACTTAATCGAGTAATCATACGCCAAAATGCCTTACATCATTTTGGAAAAGAGCTGATACTCTTACACTGCTGGACCGATATTAACCAAACATAGCTAAGAACCACCGCAAGGAAACTGGCTTTCAAATGAAACCGCATTGAAATCGGTCCATCCGTTTGAGAGCTACGATGCCATAGACAGACACATACACACAGACAGATATCGAGGTCAAACTTAATACCCCTCTTTTGCGTCGGAGGTTAAAACCACGCTGTTGACTAAGTCTAAAATATAACTTGAAAACAACTATCAAAAAAATGCAAATGAATGTAAGTAAGGTCTTAAGGTTTTTCTAATAGCAATTTAAGGGTTCCATAATCTACATCCTGGCTCATTACATCAGCTCGATGGTATCGAAATATTGTATTGTCATCCAAATTTTAGGCACATAATATATAGGTACAAAGTTTAGATATTATGAATATTAGAAGTAGGTTCAAACCTACTTCCAAGATTTGATTGTGTTGTTACACTTTAATAATAACATAAATTATTTATAAATTATTAATTTTAACAAAATAGTAGTAATATATTGTACAATAATTATTTGATTCTATAAGTTGTGATTCTGATATAAAATTTTAAATTTTAGTTTTAATAAGTTGTCACCTTGAGTGGAAAAAGGGCGAGAAACCGTTTTGTTTTGTTTTATGATATAATAAAAATACCTACGTCATTCGTATTCGTAATAAGTATTGTTTGAAGCGTTATTCTAATAGTATAGTCAACAAGGCCCTTTTAGATCAACTTTTTTCAGTACTCTCGGAAAAATATGAGCGTGGTGTGATTTGATTCGGAATGACATATAGATGATTTTTGAAAAAAATTCAAGTTCCGCTTGCAAAAATTTCAAAAGTTAACTAAAAATAAACAAGAGGGGCTTCGTTTTTTGAAAATATCTGAATATCTAATAGACATTTTCAAATCTATCTGATTATACTCCCGTAATCGTACCTATCACATCAAATCCTACAAATATTATAAATGTGAAAGTTTTTATGGATGTTACTCTTTCATGCCAGAACGGATCTGGATGAAATTTGGCACAGAGGGATGGACCCGAAGCAAACCGAGGATAAGTTAGTGGGAGAGGTCGCTAGTCAAAATATAATGATTAGATTGATTTTGAAAATATTTAAATTATATTAATTAGGCAAGTGGGTTTAGTAGTAAGGTACTTGCTTGGGAAACTAAGGAAAATTAAACTGAAGCGGGTTAAAATTCTGGGTCTCACACCTCTGATATTATTTTACCTGATTTTCAACATGATTATTTTATTAAAATGAAGGAAATAATTGTGAAACCTGGATATCTGAGAGAACCTAAAAAGTTTTAAAGAGACATGTGGCCGATTTTTATTTGACCAACGTGGTGGACTATCGTTGCATAGAGAGGCCCATGCCCATTAGTGGGATGATTCAATATACTGAATTCATATATACAATTGTTAAGATTATAAAACAGTCTGTTTGAATCAATTTACATCAACGGAGACGCGGGTGAAAGCTTGTCCATAATATATTAATGGGTTCAGTTATTAGACGTGACCGTTCGTAAAGATGTTTGGACTTAAGCCTCACAGGTAGCTTCCGTTTTATTAGAAATGGTGAATTCCTTCGAGGCTTATTTAGGATAGTTAAAAAGATTTATACTACTTACATATTAAATTTATCTATTTTGTGATGGACGAAATCGTAACAGGTTCATCGAGAAAACAAGGAGATATAAAGGTATAGATTTTTTTTTGGATGTAACACAGTATGTTTAAAAAGGTTATATATTCATACTAGCGGACCCGACAGACGTTGTCCTGTCTACACGTCTTTAATTTGAAAATTTCAAACTTTTTTTAATAATTTTTTTGATGAAAATTATTATTCAAATTGTGAATCCAAACCATTCCCAGATCCCCTTGAACACACACAAAAAATTTCATCAAAATCGGTCCAGTCGTTTGAGAGAAGTTCAGTGACATACACACTCACAGAAGAATTATATATATAAAGATTTAACGAGGGAGTGTTTTAATTTCAAGCAAATCCATAGCTTAATTGGTGAAATAATTCATTTTTAAAGAGTTTTCTTTTGAAGTCGTTATTTTTTTTAATTCAATTTACATCCTTACATCCTATCTCCGGCGAATTTTTGTCCTTCTGTCTGTATACTAGGTAGTATGTGCACAGTACACTAATCTTGAAACCTACTAAACAAATTAGGATGCGGTTTTCCATCATCGCCGAATAGGTAAAGATTGCCGAAGTTATTCTATTAGAAGCAATTTTCATTTTTTTTTAATGCTAAAAAGTTATTTTCTACGTAGATATATCTACCAAATCTATTGTATTGTAAAGCTCTTACCACAAAATATTAATTTATTCATTCGCCATTTTCTTTAACAATCTATTACTTAAATAAATTTTAAACGTTAACATAAAGTAATTTGGTCAAGTCAAGATAAGCTTCAGAAGGGCTTTCTTTATCCATAATAAAAATGAATATCGTAATTAAGTAAATGAACTACTTAAGACAAACTTTTGA